CAAGAAGAAGACGAACAAGGATGGTGAAGGGTCTAGCAGCGAGGAAGAGGACGACGATGACATTATCGCCCGCAGAAATGCATTTGTGAAGAAATCTATCCGCCAAGCGCAAGCAGATGGAAGGCTGCGGGGTCTCATGTCTGGCTCGAAGAACCCGCTCGCTGCGGAGCAGAGACGAGCACTTGTTAGAGAATTCTTCAAAGACATTGGTGCTGTGAAGAAGTGCGCCAGCTGCAGCGGGTACGTTCCTGAATTCTCTACGCGCAAACTTTTGCAAGGCCTCGTCACTGATCCAGGCGCATAGACTCTCCCCGTCGTACCGTAAAGATCGGTCCTCGAAAATCTTCCGAAAGGCTTTGCCCGAGAAGTCTAGACTTATCATGACGCAAGCTGGATTCCAAATACCGAATTCTCTGGTCCTCCTCCAGCAGGCCAAGAAGCTTACCTCCAAGGAGAAGGCGGCGCTTGCTAACGGAGTGTCTGACAATGTTAGCACCACTTCCGAAACACATGGTGCAGAGGAAGAGGTTGCACGTGGAAACGCAATCGTGGCCCAGGCCGAGAGCAGGAAACAGGCCGTTGGAGAGACCCAGCAGTTCATGCCCTCTCCCGAAGTCCACGCTGCGATGACGCTGCTTTTCGAGAAAGAGCAGGAAATCTTGAGCCTGGTTTATAACTCCCGACCTTTGCCGAAAAAGGAGTCCCAGGTTAGCGCAGATATGTTCTTCATCAAGAACATCCTGGTGCCACCCAACAAGTTCCGTCCCGCGGCACCGCAAGGGCCCGGTCAGATCATGGAGGCCCAGCAGAACCAGTCCTTCACAGCGATCTTGAAGAACTGCGACATCATCAACCAGATCAGCAAGGAGAGACAGAGCGCAGGCGCCGACTCTACTACGCGCGTGCGGGACTACCGTGATCTCCTTCACTCGATCGTCACCCTCCAGGATACCGTCAACATGCTAATCGACCGTGACCGTGGTAACCTCAGCGGACCCGCCGCCGCCGCCGCTCCGATGGGCATCAAGCAGTACCTCGAAAAGAAGGAGGGTCTATTCCGGAAGAACATGATGGGAAAGCGTGTCAATTTTGCTGCTCGAAGTGTTATCTCGCCCGACCCTAACATTGAGACCAACGAAATTGGTGTCCCTATGGTGTTCGCGAAGAAGTTGACCTACCCCGAGCCGGTGACGAACCATAACTTCTGGGAGATGAAGCAGGCAGTCATCAATGGTCCTGACAAATACCCTGGTGCTTCGGCTATTGAGAACGAATTTGGCCAAGTCACCAACCTCAGGTTCAAGAGTCTGGATGAGCGGACGGCGTTGGCAAACCAGCTGCTCGCCCCGTCAAATTGGCGCATGAAAGGATCGCGTAACAAGAAGGTTTACCGCCATCTTACCACCGGTGATATCGTCTTGATGAACCGTCAGCCTACACTCCACAAGCCATCCATTATGGGTCACAAAGCTCGTGTTCTCCCCAACGAAAGAACTATTCGCATGCACTACGCCAACTGCAATACCTACAACGCAGATTTCGATGGTGATGAGATGAACATGCATTTCCCTCAGAACGAGCTCGCTCGTTCGGAGGCTATGATGCTTGCGGATGCAGACCATCAATACCTTGTCGCAACATCCGGAAAACCTCTGAGAGGTCTGATTCAGGATCACATCTCCATGGGAACCTGGTTCACTTGCCGTGACAGCTTCTTCGATGAGGAAGAATACTACCAGCTGTTGTACAGCTGCTTGAGGCCCGAGAACTCCCACACGATTACTGATCGGATCCAGACTGTGTGCCCAACGGTGATCCGGCCTAAGCGTCTCTGGACCGGTAAGCAGATTATCTCGACCATCCTCAAGAATATCATGCCTCACGACAGGGCTGGTCTCAACCTGAAGAGCAAGTCTTCCACCCCTGGAGACCGTTGGGGCGAGGGTAACGAGGAAGGTGAAGTTATTTTCAAGGATGGAGAGATGCTTTGTGGTATTCTCGACAAGAAGCAGATTGGTCCCACAGCTGGTGGTTTGATCGATGCCATCCATGAAATCTATGGACATACCATTGCTGGGCGTCTGATCAGTATTCTCGGTCGTCTTCTGACGAGATACCTGAACATGCGTGCCTTTACTTGCGGTATCGACGATCTTCGACTGACCCCGGAGGGCGACCGCGTTCGTAAAGAAAAGATTAGCGAAGCTGCTGCCATTGGTCGGGAGGTTGCACTGAAGTATGTCACCCTCGACCAGACTACTGTGCCCGACCAAGATGCCGAGCTGCGGCGACGTATGGAGGAGGTTCTCCGAGACGATGAGAAGCAGGGCGGCCTTGATAGTGTTTCGAACGCTCGCACGGCGAAGCTCTCGACTGAAATCACCAAAGCCTGTCTTCCGAAGGGTCTGGTTAAGCCCTTCCCGTGGAACCAGATGCAGTCTATGACAATCTCCGGAGCTAAGGGTTCGAGCGTCAATGCCAACCTGATTTCCTGCAACCTGGGTCAACAGGTTTTGGAAGGTCGCCGTGTACCCGTCATGGTTAGCGGTAAGACTCTGCCATCTTTCAGAGCATTTGACACGAATCCTATGGCTGGTGGTTATGTCTGTGGTCGTTTCTTGACTGGTATCAAGCCCCAGGAATACTACTTCCACGCCATGGCTGGTCGTGAAGGTTTGATTGATACTGCTGTCAAGACCTCTAGATCCGGATACTTGCAGCGTTGTTTGATCAAGGGTATGGAAGGCTTGAAGGCAGAGTACGACAGCTCTGTTCGTGAAGCCACTGATGGCTCGATCGTCCAGTTCTTGTATGGTGAGGATGGTCTGGATATCACCAAACAGGTCCACCTGAAGGACTTCGATTTCCTGGCATCGAACTACGTGTCTATCATGTCTCAGGTCAACCTGACCAGCGACTTCCACAACTTGGAGAAGGAGGAGGTCGCGAATTGGCATAAGGATGCCATGAAGAAGGTGCGCAAGACAGGAAAGGTCGAAGCCATGGACCCTGTCCTTTCTCTCTACCACCCCGGAGGTAACTTGGGAAGTATCTCGGAGAATTTCTCGCAAGCTCTTAAGAAGGTAAGACTATCTGAAAGCCCAAAACAAGACGAAGTACTGTGACTGACAATCCTATCTCCAGTACGAGGATGCCAACCCGGACAAGCTTCTTAAGGACAAGAAGAAGGACGTGAACGGTATCATCAGCAAGAAGGCATTCAACACTCTCATGAACATGAAGTACATGAAGTCTGTCGTCGAGCCTGGTGAGGCCATCGGTATCGTTGCCGGTCAGTCTATTGGTGAACCGTCCACCCAGATGACCTTGAACACCTTCCACTTGGCTGGTCACTCGGCGAAGAACGTGACGCTGGGTATTCCCCGTCTGCGTGAAATCGTTATGACCGCTAGTGCCCATATCATGACCCCTACGATGACCTTGATCTTGAACGACGAGCTGTCTAAGGAGCACTCCGAAAGATTTGCCAAGGCTATCAGCAAGCTCAGCATCGCGGAGGTTGTCGACAAGGTCCAAGTCAGAGAGCGCGTCTCCTCAGGCAGTGTCAAGGCTAAGGTTTACGACATTGATATCACTTTCTTCCCTGCTGACGAGTACACCGCCGAATACGCCATCACAACGAAGGATGTGCAGAACACACTGCAGAAGAAGCTCATTCCTAAGCTTGTCAAACTCACTAAGGCTGAACTCAAGAAGCGTGTCGATGAGAAGACCCTGAAGAAGTACTCCACTGCTCAGCCTGAGATTGGTGCTTCCGTTGGCACCGTACAGGACGGACCCCGCGGCGCCGATGCCGACGCAGAGCCGGCTGACGACGACGTTGAAGACGACGAGGACGACGCCAAGCGTGCTCGGGGCACTCAGAACCGGTCCAACCAGGTCTCTTACGAAGGCCCCGAGGACGAGGAGGTGGACATGGTCCGACAGCAGGATGCTGAAGAAGACGATGACGACGAGGAAGAGGGTAACGCCGGCGAAAAACGGGATGTCGAGATGGACGATGCTTCCGATGAAGAGTCGGAGGGTGAGACAAAGGACACCAAGCTGCGCGAAGAAGATATCAAGAACCAGTACCAGGAAGTCACGCAGTTCAAGTTCAACCCTCGCGACGGAGGATCCTGCACTATCCAGTTGCAGTACGACATCGACACCCCCAAGCTCCTGCTTCTGCCCCTGGTGGAGGATGCTTGCCGCAGCGCAGTCATCCAGTCCATCCCTGGCCTTGGCAACTGTACGTTCGTCGAAGCCGACCCGATCAAGGGTGAACCTGCCCACGTCATCACCGATGGTGTCAACCTGCTTGCTATGCGCGACTACCAAGACATCATCAAGCCTCACTCCCTCTACACCAACTCCATCCACGACATGCTCAACCTCTACGGTGTCGAAGCCGCCCGTGCCTCGATCGTCAAGGAAATGTCCGACGTTTTCCAGGGTCACAGTATCTCCGTTGATAACCGTCACCTGAACTTGATCGGTGACGTGATGACCCAGTCTGGTGGCTTCCGCCCCTTCAACCGTAACGGTCTTGTCAAGGACGGCTCATCACCTCTGGCCAAGATGAGTTTCGAAACCACCGTCGGATACCTCAAGGAGGCTGTCGTTGAGAGAGACTTTGATAACCTCAAGAGTCCTAGTGCCAGAATCGTCGTTGGTCGCACCGGAACCGTCGGTACCGGTGCCTTCGATGTCCTTGCTCCTGTGGCGTAAATATAATGGGCGTGTTGCATTTCCACCAGTTTTCATATCTTTTTGTATATGTGCAAAATCATTAGTTTCTGTATTTCTATTTCTATTTCTTTTCCTTGTCTTTCCTACTGTTCTTGTCTGACGTGTCCAACGATCTCTGCAGTTGTCTTTCAGCGGGAATAAGAAAAAAGTTGAAGTTTTCTTACGCAGATCGCATCCTCTTATCTACCTTTATTTCAATAGTACAGGCAATCAATAAAAAGAATTTTGAATACTAAGGAAGTAACATTATTATCTCATAATTTTTGGTTGATCGAAGCACGCCTTGTATATAGTACATTGTGATGACCCAATTGAACACCAGACTTGAAACCGTGGTATCATGCATGCAGGTTGTGCAAGGACTGCTGAGGGGATGGAAATAGAAAAAAACAACAGAAACAAATGCAACCGATCGAATGAATGTATTGACACCAAAAAGCGAATAATAAGTTCAGCTTCACTGCGCATCCAGCATCATCAAATCTTCATTATCAATGTCATCATCGAACTCATCTGCATCACCTGCACCATTACGCACTCCATTGTGGGGAGCAGCCGCGGCACCGCCAAAAGCAAGATTTTGTGGTACTTCTCGCTGAGCCCGTTCCTCCTCTAACTTCTGCTTCTCCCGGTGTCTTTCAATATCAGCCAAGCTCCACGTCGAGATTCCTTCTTGATCCCTAGCCTTGAACGGCTGGGCCATCGTCCGTAGGAAGTTCTTGGCGGTAGCCGCCGCCATATCAGTACTGAGGTTGGTTTCGCTTTCCAGCATGGCCTGATTGATCCATTTGGGGAGCTGGTTGCGCTTCTTCTGAAATCGACGATCAGCGAGCACCATGACTCCGTAGTCGTCCTTTCCGCGTAAGACGCGACCCAAGCATTGAGCAGCGTGACGCATGGCGTCGAAGGAGAGGAAGTCATTCTCGCGGATGCGGTAGTTTTCGCGCAGGAACTCGAGACGCGCTTTCAGGATGCGGGACTCGGTGTATTGGAAGGGAACGCCGATGTTAATGACGGCGCGGCCGTAGTGGTGGTCGAAATCGATTCCTTCGGAGACTTTGCCTCGTGCGACGCAGAGAAGGAGGGCGCCTCGACCGTTGCAACAGGCTGTTCGGTAGGTTTCTAGGGCGAGGGAGGATTCTTGCGCGTCAGGCGTTTCGACGAGGATCAGTTTATAGTTCCAGATTGAGTCGAGGATGCCCATGCCCTGCCACATGCTGATGATGGATTCCATGTACAAGTAAGAGGGGAAGAAGACGACGACGCCGTCGGGGGTGATTCGGGAGAATTCCAAGACGAGGTTGCCATAGTTTCGGACGACTCCGGGATCGTTGCGGATTTGGAAGGATGAGGATATCTGCGCCTGATCGGATCCGCGGGTTACGACCATGGGTAAAAAGGATCGACGCGCAAGTGTCATGCTGTAGGACTCCTGCATTACAGCGTTGAATCCAAGCATCTTGGGGTACATCTCAAGAGGGGATAGCGTTCCTGAAGTAATAATGACGGAGCTGAATCGGTCGAATACCGGCTTGATGGCGATAGCAGCATCCAAGCAGGTGAAATGCAATACCGGATTGGGAACGGTTGCTGCTTCTGATTCGAAAGGCTCCAGGATCAGGAGGAATCCTTTTTCGTAGGTGGCGACTAGGGTCGCGAATGTTGCTACCTCCTGGAGCGGTTGGTAGTCTTCTATGTTGATAAGCTCCAAGGTTCGCACAAGCGAGGTTAGTCGTTCAGCGCAGAAGCGAAGGGGCTTCCGCTCGATATAGGTCAGATCCTTCACGTGTGTTAAGAAGGAAGGAGGCGTTTCGGATATGGTATGCATGACTTTCATTCGGGTTTTGAGGTATTCGATAAATCTTTTAAGGAAGGATACGAAGTGCTCCGCTCGTCGTATATTTCCCGGTACGGCTTCCTTGAGCAGATCATCCGGAAGGACAGGGTTTGAGATGAATTGATCCTCCTCTCTAGCTTGTTCAGCTGCTTGTAGGCCTTCAACGAGTTTTGAGTATTCGTTCTGGAGCTTTTCCGCATCCGAAGTCTTCATCTCATTGATCTTGCGTTCCAAATTGTTCGCGCCTCTCGTCGCTTTCCGTAACGAGTCCTCCGTAATGTCAATGCTTAGCGATTCGATACAGACGTTGTCGATGTTGTGAGCCTCGTCGAAAACCACGATACAATCCTTAGAAAGCTCTCGCGATACCCTCTCGGCGATTTTGGGGTCCAGTAGGTAGTGGTAAGAGTAGATAATGACGTTGCAAAAGGGCATCTAGTCAGTTTATTAGTATCCTTGCGGTAGCTACAACCATCCAAGGGTGCCATACCATGCGTCGAGCTGAAAAATAAGGACATTGTTTATGCTCTTCTCCGTATCTGAGTAGATCATCGAGTGTGAAGACACCGGGGGGAACAAGATTGTGCGGCTCGAGCAGATCGAGGTTCTGTAGAGAAGTTAGAAAATGGCCCTGATCCAGATCGCAAGCTCCATACCTCATGATATACGCAAAGTTCAACGTCCTCACCGCGCTCTTTCTTCTCCTTGACGAAGCCTGCAGTTAAGCTCCGGCACCTTGCATCGACGACCGCGCCACTCTTTTCCCGCTTGACAGACGGATGCAGACACAGATTCTTTCGACTTGTCAGACCCAGCGCACGAAAATCTTCGGTATGCCCAAGTTCCTTAGCCCGGAACTTCATCAGCGCCTTCAGTTCGGCCAAGGCCTTCTCGATCTCGGACATGGTTCGAGAACAGTAGATGAGCTTTCGGTGCTCCGGATAATGTTGCTGGTAGGCGACAATCAGCGAGAGAAGGGATACGGTCTTTCCGGTCCCGGAGGGCATCTCCAGGACACAATGACCCCCGGCATCGAGGGTCTTTTTAAGATCGCACATGTAGGCATATTGTTCGGGATAGATACGAGGATACGGGAAAAGGACGGGGAGATCACTAGAAGACGGGGAGTGTCAGTTGTGACAGCTCTCGACTTGTGCTAAGAGCTACCTAGAGGGTAGTACATACTCGATAAAGAATTTCATGGTGAGAGAGGAGCGTGATGCTCGAGAGAAGATGAGGATCGCCTTTTGGGCGCCTTCGGAGGATCTTCTAGACCGCGTCGACTTTTGCCCAATCGGGAATCGATGACACCAGATCACGTGCACTGCCCGATAGAGACGCCGATAATGTAATCACGCCGCTTTTAACGGCGGGGAGCTTCGATTATCAATTATCGATATCAAAGCAAGAATCTTGCAGGATCCCAGGGGAATTGTGGGATGAAAGACCCTTGAACAAGTAGCTTGGGTCGGTTAGCTAGAAGTTAAACTCGGCCAGGTTCACTTAAGCCTCTCTTCTATGGTTGTGACCTGCTCTACTTCCATGCTATACACGCGCATTCCGTCATTTTCTTTACATCCCGCTTCCCCCACTCTACTATGAGCAAGAAGTTCAAATCTCAGGCTTCAAGCAGCCGAGCTGCTGCCGGCACTTTCGGCGGCTTTGGTGGATTCTCCGGCGCATTTTCTAGCCAAGGAAAAGAGCCATCTTCACTTACATATGTGGCTGAACCGCCGGATCTTTCCCGCATATCGGAGGCACAATTAGCGATTGCGTTCAAGAACTTTCTCAAGAAAGATGAAGTCACCAGAACGAGAGCACTGGATGATCTGCGAGATCATGTATCGAGTGTCGAGAGTCGCAGCGGAACGCTTGATGACGGGTTCCTGGAAGCTTGGGTAGGTCAATCTTCGCATTATGCGCCCCGGAATAGCACGTTGATCATGGTTCGGAACATCGGCAGATTAAAATCTATCCCCGCGCTTCCATAGATCTGTCCCGCAGGGTGAGGCAGACCGCTCATTCTATTCAAGGGTCGATTGCCAGTCTGGTGGGAAAGCGAATTGCTCGCTTCCTGCCCAAGGTGATTGGCGCGTGGCTGGCGGGGATCTATGATAATGATCGACCTGTCCATCAGTCTGCCTTGGAGTCTTTCACCCGCGTCTTCTCGACTGACGAGAAGAGAAGCGGTGTGTGGAAGGTCTACCAGAGCGCTATCCTAGAATTTGTGGATGATGTCATCCTGCAGCAGACTGCTCTGACATTGAGCGATGAGCGAACGGTCAAGCCTGACGATGCAGAAGCAAAGTATGCGCGTGTAGCTGGCACTGCGCTTTTGTTATTCAATCGAGTTCTAGGTAAGCGGAAAGCCATATTGTTCCTAACATCTTTAAACTAAAGCATATGCAGGACACTCGACCCATGAAGATCTGCAGAAGGATCTTCCGACCATCGAAACTCTCTTATGCAGCAAGTCTCTATGGGCGCTTTCTTATCACGACGACCCTTTTGTGCGTAAATCGCTCTACATCCTTACTCGATCAGCTGTGTCTAAAGAGCCTGAGGAGCTTGATTGGAAGCTCATCAGTGCTGCCCTGATTGGCAAGGCTTTGCACAGTCCCCAACTTGGCTCCGCATCGGAGCTTTCCGAAACGATTTTGCGGGTGACATCTGCAAGACCGCAACTATGGACAGAGGACTATTCTGGGAAGTCATCTCCTTCCAAGAGACTTCTTCAATACATACAGAAAGGTTCACAAAGCGGCACAAGCTCCTTTTGGCCAAATCTTTGCCAATTACTCCAGACGATTCCTTTCGAAACACTGGCCAAGATTGACTCGCAATCTGCATCCGATTCTCTTGGACTGTCTAGTGCGGTTGCATTGACAGAGTCGTTCCAGGAAGGACTCACTTCTAGGGACGAGCCTCGGCAAAATCGTGCAGTTGGTTGGAAGGCCTACATTGACACCTCGATGTGGCTTGCGCATCAGCTTGCCGAAGAAGATAGGGTGAGATTCTTGCAGGATAGACTTGCTCCGTTGGTATTGCAATATGTCAAGCCTGAGCAAGATTGTCTTCAATGGACACTCCCCCCTTCGTCAGCGGAATCTATAAGCACGGATTGTCTCGTCGCAGTGACAGCGAAAGGTTACAAAGCGGTGGTCGAGCAGCTGTGGACGAAGTTGGCTGATGACCTCCTCGAGGCCGTAAAGCTATCATCACCAGAGCAGTCTAAGGATTTCAAGTCCTCACAGGACGCAGTATGTGTACAGGCTGAGCGTTTGTTGGCCTTGGAAGCCTTGTTGATTTCGCGTTTGCATGATACTGCCCATGAGACAAACATTTTGGATGTATTCAAGAATACAGGCCTAAAGTTACTCGATAATTGCCTGGAGGTGTTACGCTCCAGAAATGGTAAGCCTTATGGAGCGGCTGCAGTCGTGGAGGAAATAGTACGCAAAGTCCCGCAAATCGCGCAAGGCTCGCAGTCTTTGTTGAACTTCGTCCAAGAGGATGCGCCTGAGCTCCTGGCATCGCCATCTGCTGATAGATTGGTATCCATTATCATGTCTTGCCGATCGTGGGAAGGATTTGGACCTAGCTTTGAGAAGGTGGTCGAGCGTGTGGCACAATCGGATCCTGAGTCGTCGAATGTGCATGCTGTTCAGAAGCTTCTTTCCACTCTTGATTTCCAGGAGCTAGGCGACAAGAGTGGACTGGTTTCCTTGGTTATGCGAGCCCTAGACGAAGCCTGCAAGGGCAGCGACCTTCACTGGTCCATTGTTATTGCCGTGCTACAGAACCATACCTCTCACGGGCAATTGACGGACTCGATTTTCCTGTCTATTGTGGATGCCCTCTCCGAAGAGAGTAAGGTATTTGACACGCTGCATGGACTTTCTCGCATGTCCAGCTCGGTCCCCAATGCTGTCCGAAACTTCCAGAGTGGAAGCCATGGCTCAAAGTTGTCTGGTAAACTGCTGTTCCTCACTGAGTCGTCGGATGAAGAAGTAGCCAGTCTCGCGGAGTCGCTGTCAAAGACTCTGAAAGAGTCTGTCGTCAGCGAGACGAGTGCCAAATCAAGCTTTGAGATTCTGCGGCACCAGTTCGAAAATGTGAATGAAATGTCACTTTCGTAAGTCGCGACCCAACGAGAGGAGAGAAAAGAAGCTAACGGTACCAGCATCGAGTCCATGTTGAGCATCGCAGAAGAGCTGCTACAGAATGTCCCTACCACGGACATTGGAAGAGTAGCGAAGGACATCCTGCCGTCTCGGCAATCTTGGGAGAATTCCCTTGGGCCTTTCCTCGAGCTCCCTCCGCGGCTATCGGCTGCCGTCACCAGCCCGCTCGCCGGTACCGTGCATCTCGTTGATCGCAATGTGTCAGACGCATTCCGGGAACGCTACGCACGTATTCCGCGCGACTCCAACAAGTGCTCGTCGGCGTTCCGGTTGGCATTCTACACCATCAAGATCTTGTCTTTATTCAATATTGTTGAACATTTGGACACCGAGGAGCTTGAGACACTGTTTTACAATGTACCCCTAGCAGTGCAGCTCATTGATGATGACTTGAGCGTCCAAAACTGCAATGGAATAACCGGCATCACACACCCCGAGCAGCGCGAGGAGTACATGGAAATAGTCAGCGATGGCCGAAAAGCCGTGAATGGCTGGGCTCAGTCGCAAAAGCTGAATGCTGGTAAAGGACAGTCAGTCGGTTCTTTGCTTTCTACATTCTGGACAAGCCAGATCGAGAAGCTGGACTCCCTTTCTCCGTTAGACTATCAAACTGGGCTGGCGTTTGTGAAAATCATGGAAGCTGTGGATTCGTCAAACAAGAATCGGTCATCTGAAGAGGTCACACAACTTTGCAGGGAGATGCGAAAGGCGAACGCCGTTCGGTCGGCCTCTTGGGTGGCCGTGCTACGAAGTGCCATACTCTCCAACCCTGCCGGTACACGACTGTGTAATGAGTTTGTGGCGGACTCCACGGGGTTGAAGCCCACCGAAGAGAGCAAAGATGGTTTGTCGAGGCCTTTTTACCCAGTCAATCTAATCTGCTAATATAGACTAGGTCTTCGCAAGTTGGTTCTTCTGAATCTCCTGTTATCTGGAGAAGAAGAGGTTGCGGCCTCCATTCCCACACAGCGTTTGGTGTTCTTAATCAAACATCTCATTCAATGCCTTCAGTCTGATGGCACATCTCTGAGCCTCAAGGCCGAGATTTTCCAAGTCCTGGCAGTGATGCTTCCTAACCTACAGGAAATCTACGGCTCCCACTGGGAGGAATGTATGGATATCCTTATTACCACATGGCAAGAGACTGGTGGTAGCGACGAAGCCATCCCTACTCTGCTATCGTCATTCAGACTCTTCTCTCGTCTTCAGTCAATCGCAGGTGACGAGGAGAGTAACGATGATGTGAAGGATGCGTGGTCTGATCGGAAGAATGCACTTTTCAATAGCTTGGCATCAACTCTCCAAAAATTCGGTAAGTGTTGGATACACGGTTATCAGGTATATGCTGACTGGGCAGATTCGTCCACCACCTTCCACCAACCCCGAGATGTGGCTGTTGATCTGTTGTGTCGCTTCCTCAACGTTATCCCGGTGGATCACCTGGAAGACGCGAGCAAGTTCTTCCCTCTCATCACAGCGCAGAGCCCCGCGGTGCAGCGCGCAGCTTACACCGTCCTCCATCGGTACATCCCCAGTGTGCAAGAGCAAGTGTCATTTGATGTAGCACTGTCGAAGACGACTGTTGGACTGCCTGACGAGCTGATGTCTCTGCTGCTCGAAGCACCGACTATGGAAGGGGTCAACGCCGCCTATGGCGATGACAGGATGTGGGCCGAACTACGGTCGTACCTGCTAAGCTGGAAGGTGGTTTTCGACCACTTTATTAATGCGGTATGTATTGATATTTTGCTGTAGGACTGGGTTCGCTGACCATTACAGTCTCTCACTGTCCAAGAAAACTACGTGACTAGTATCAAGGATAACGAAAGTCTCAGCCCACTCTTGGAGTTCATGTTCGACTTCCTCCAGAGATCAGGCGGAAAGATGGTGGATGCATCGAAATTTGACATCCGCTCCTTTGAGCTCGATCAGTCCGAGAGCGCTGAGAAGGAGATCCAATGGCTTCTCGTGCACTTGTATTTCTTGTGCTTGAGGCATCTGGCCAACATGACAAAGAGCTGGTGGCTCGATACGAAGAAGCGTATCAAGGGACCAGTGGAATCCTGGACCGAGAAATTCGTAAGCTGCCTGAATAGCTGGGCTTGTCTTATAGCAGGCTAACATTGCATTAGATCTCACCTTTGGTTATCGAAGACTCGCTGCGGGGAGTCACTGAATGGACAGCCACCCAGGATCCGAACGAAGAGCGGGCGCTGAACGTGAAGATATCGCCCAAGACGGCGGAGATCATCGCCAGCATCCCGGTGGACGAAGAGTCGCCACCGGTGGCATTGTCTCTGTCACTCCCTCCGGCCTATCCACTGCAGCCAGCATTGGTTGTGAGTCGAAGTCGTGTGCTTGTGGACGAGAAGAAGTGGCGCAGCTGGTTGCTGACCATCCAAGGCGTGATCATGTTTGCCAACGGCAACTTGGTGGACGGACTGCTGGCGTTCCGTAAGAACGTGCAGGGAGCTCTCAAGGGACAGAGCGAGTGCGCGATTTGCTACTCGGTCATTTCGACGGACATGCAGACACCGAACAAGCGGTGCGCCACGTGCAAGAACACCTTCCACTCGGTGTGTCTGTTCCGGTGGTTCAAGAGCAGCAACCAGAGCACGTGCCCGCTGTGCCGGAACAATTTTGTTTATGTTTAGGGGGTTGGTGGTAGAGATGTACATAGAAATCATATTGGGAGTATCACTACGATGCTGCATCATTCGATGGCTATCAGTATTGTCGCATCCGCATGTCCTTGCCTGGACTGGAAAGAGACAAAGCTAACAACAGCAATACTCAAAGAGTCAGTAACCTTTTCTCAGAAAGTTACATGAGTTCGTAGTTCCCTCAGCAGGACCCTCTCTTAGAAGACAATATGCGAACAGATCAATCTTCCCTCCACTCCAGTCCGCCTCTTTTTAGTATGCACCGGATTGAACACCACAGCTATTAACAATGCTCTCAAATGAGGTCACAACTCCCCATGCTCCCCAACATCCAGGAATCAACTATCATCACTATTGCATTCCACCTCAACAAACCTAAACTTCATTGGCTCATCACCCTCTGCATTCCAGATGGAATACTGGGCCCACTGCAAAACAATATCCAAACCATTATACCTCCCGTATTGTTGCCCCGAATACTAACGAACCCCTTGTCGCCATCATCCCCATCGACCTTTACAGCTTTAAAAAGAAAGGGGAATAGCGAATCCCCATACACGTCTCTGTCGATGCTAGTAGGCCAGAGTTACGATCCTTGGTGCCGATTAGCGCTAATTACTAGCGGACCCCAATTGAGCGCGAGCTATCTGAGATAGAAAACCCCGCCATCGGTCACATTGCCGTCGGGGGATGGACAGTCGTCTTTGTAGTTTCCGCACACTTGTAGTTTCCGCACACTTGGACTGTTCTTGAAGGAGTAACATTTTCGACGAAGAGCGGTTCCCAAAACATGCCGCCTGCACCACCGTATTGTTGGACAGAGCTGCGGTCAATGTGTATCAGATTGTAGCATCTGCGGTAGGTGATTGGTAGAGTGGCGGGTTCAATGGCTTGGTTGGCCTCTTTATCGGAGTTTAAAAATAGCTGGAATGGCCTGAGCATGTTTTGAGGCAGGAGAAAGGCCCCTGCAGAGATGGCCAGGAGGAGAGTTAGATAAAGAAGCTTCATGGTTTATTAGACCTTTGTAAAACATGATCCTGAGTGGTCGTAGAAAGTGTCGATATCGGAGAACTTTCCCTCAATCTAATGGTGGATTAGACTAGAACATATCAAATTATATATATGTCGAGGAAGATGGCTTCAATGAAGCAGTCACGATATGATAATTCATCTCCAGGCGAACCATAGACTATGGATGCGAGAAACACTGGTACTACTAGAGCACGGTATTGTCCATGATGGCAGTGCTACACCACCGTCTTCGTCGATAAATTACGCACAATGGCTTTGATGAATGCCTTGAGCCAATGTGTCTCATAACGATGAATCATTTTATTTCAATCTTGGTCCATGGGTTGAGCTAACAGTAAGTTCAAAGCAATGTCGAACCCGTTTTCGGAAGCCAGCAGATGACGATGATGATGATGAGGAGGATGATGATGGATGGGAATGGATGAAGTATAGGATATTAAAAGTATCTCGTTGTTCAGCTCCTACTTTCGCTTCCAAAATATCTGTCAGTATAAACAAATAATAGCATTAGTTGACTAACTTGTTCTCATAGTACATAGTAGATATGTAAGCTTGTAGAAGTAGAAAAGCTGTGGGGGCGGCACCGCGGGGCACAACCAACTTTCCGCCGCGGAGCTCCAACTTGAGCTTCTCCATCTCCTCCCCGTCAATGTCCGCCTCGCACATCCCTAACTTGAACACCCTGCGTCGCGGCGGTGGTCGCGGCCGATTTCGAAGTCGTGGAGGTGGCCAGCCCGGTGATGCAGGCCACGGGTCTCATGGCGCCAAAGATCGTGTGGTGCAGGGCACCGACAATGACGCCAGCGTCTCCCGCCTCAGCGCCGTGAACCTGGGCTATCTTGATGATGTCTTCGCACCTGCATTGACGCCTCCAGGCATGGAAGTCCGTCGACTTCCCATCATCAACAGAGGTACTGGATCTCGGACAGACGCCGTCATACTTCAAGAGCTCTAATTTTTGAGCATCATAGGCACCTACGTTCGCACCACTGCCATCGACCGCCTCGTCACCCGCTTTCTGAGCGCCCATCCCTCTCACCCCAAGAAACAGATCATCTCCCTGGGCGCCGGCACCGACTCGCGCATCTTTCGTCTCCTCTCCTCCCCTAGCTACGACGCATCGAACCTAGTCTACCACGAGATCGACTTCTCCGTCAACACTTCCGCCAAGGTCAAACTCATCCGCGCCGCACCTCTCCTCCAACGCGTCCTTAGCCATAACAGCGGCGACGTCGAAATCTCTCCAACCAACGACGCCCTCCACTCGCCCTCCTACCACCTCCACCCCCTCGATCTCCGCAGTCTACACACCTCGCCCGCCCTCCCAGGCCTCGATCCCACTCTCCCTACCCTCCTCTTGTCCGAGTGTTGTCTCATATACCTCACCCCCGGCGAAGCCAGCTCGGTAGTCCGCCACTTCACAGAAACCATTTTCCCGGCGGCCACGCCGGTAGGGTTGGTTCTGTATGAGCCCATCCGGCCCGACGATGCATTCGGGCGCACAATGGTGGCAAATCTAGCCACGAGGGGGATTCAGCTGCAGACATTGCAAGAGTATGCGTCGCTAGAGGCGCAGCGACGGAGGTTACGGGAGCTGGGACTGGACAGGGGACAGGCGGCGGCGGATGTGGACTTCATCTGGGAGAGGTGGGTGAGTGAGCGGGAGAAGGAGCGGGTGGCAGGGTTGGAGATGTTGGATGAGATGGAGGAGTGGAGGTTACTGGCAAGACATTATTGTGTTGCTTGGGGGTGGAGGGACACCCAGGATGGGGTGTTTGAGGGATGGAGGGAGATGGAAGGGCAGGAGGAGTAGGAGTAGGAGTGCAGTAAGAAGTATGAAGTATTACTGTGTAGTTAGGAAGTAGTGTGTGCGTCATACATGATAGCTTGCTAGCTAGTTAGTTTATTGTACCCAGGTAGTTCCCCAGACTATCATATAATAGATTATATATGAATGAAAATCCACGTTGAGCGCACAGGCCAAGGGGCGAGAAAGAGGAGAGAGTAGACTAAGTACTATGCAGTGGAGTGAAGTGCATGGCAGCCCAAGCCTGCAACGTGCATGCAAACCACCCCAGAACCCCTGTTTATACCAGTATTATGATATTAATATTGACAATTATTTGCCTAAAGTACCTGACGGAGAAACCAGTATTTGCCCAGCAATCAAGCCATTGGTGCAATCAAACATGACCATAGATAAGAGCTCATGAGCAAGCGAGACACAGACTAAACATAGACTATTGCCCAAGCTAGCACCATAGCTCCCGCCTATGAGCCTGTACGATTGGCCTGCTTCTCGCCCCCTTTTTTTTCAACTGCCAAAGTCCGTGCCGGTCAGTGACTGAGACTAGCCCAGAGGCAGAGAGGCACTGACTCGAATGGACTCGAGCACTACTTTGTGACTTATACTGGAATAGGATGCTGATCCGGTCTGGACGGATGCTGATCGTGATGTCTTGTCTGGGAGAGGAAGGGAGTGGTTGTGAGTTTGTCCCGTGTCATATTCTGGTAGAGTTGAGTTGAGTTGACAGATGGCAATAATTAAGGATTGAGTTGGATGAACTCAGCAGATATATTATTGTTCACAGATACGCTCTCTCTCTTTCTCTTTACTACCCTTTTGTGAGTTCTACCACCAATTATGGATGAATGTCTCAGGGTCCACGGACCCCTTATCCATCCATCAGGAACCGTACGGTAACCTACACTATTCCACTATTCCCAAACCAGTAATATACGGGGGGAATTCCATGAACCGCCGCGGCGCAAAGGCCGCTGATTGGCGTGACCCCCTGAGCGGGTCATGCCTAATTGGGATCGAAGCTTTAGGGCTATCCTGTTTAGGTAACCCGGGGAGAGCATCACTTTCAGGCTACTAGTCGTAGTAGTCTTTCTCTAGTAGTTTGATGGTGGTGGCAGTGGGTTCCTCGTTTCTCTTTTCTTCTGGGTCTTCCGGCTCTTGTCTCTCTCTTTCTCTTTCTCTTCTTCCTCTCTTTCTTTGCTTCGGTTCAGTCTCTCGTTCTTGTCTTTACTGACCCTAGTCTTTCGTTTCGCGTGGTCTGTCGTGGTGTCATATTCAATTATTTTCCATACTTATCTGCCCTACTTGTCTGTTGCTACATATCTCACAAAACTGACCCATACACATCACATCTCTCCACCTTTGGTTACATATACATACAACATACATACATATACACCTCTCATACAACAATGAAGGCCACTAGTGCAACGGTGGCTTTCCTAGCCATGACTGCTGTCCAAGCAGCCAAGCACGCCCATGACCATGGCCACCACCGCAGCCATCGCTCGGTGGATGCCCCCGTGGTTAAGAAGAGTTCCTCGTGTCAGTTCCCCTCCGGGGCTGGCTTGATCCCCATCACTCCTCACGAGGTCAATGGTGGATGGGCTATGAGCCCTGACCAGGAGTGCAAGCCTGGCGGATACTGTCCGTATGCTTGTCCGGCTGGCCAGGTCTCTATGCAGTGGGACCCGGAGGCTACTTCGTACACCTACCCCATGTCCATGGTAAGCTGCCTGGGAGTAAACCTTTGCTGGGTGTGACTGACAAGAGTAGAATGGTGGACTGTACTGTGACGAGAACGGCGAGATTCAGAAGCCCTTCCCGGACCGTCCGTACTGCAAGGACGGCACCGGCGTCGTCAGCGCAAAGAACAAGTGCAAGGAGCAGGTGTCTTTCTGCCAGACGGTTCTTCCCGGCAATGAGGCCATGTTGATCCCCACGCTTGTCGAAGAATTGGCTACCCTGGCTGTTCCGGATCTGAGCTACTGGTGTGAGACTGCGGCACAGTAGGTTTTCCATTACTCTTATATGTAAGCGATTATTATACTGACAGTATAGCTTCTATATCAACCCTCCGGGATACAACACCGAGACGGCCTGTGTCTGGGGTACCTCCGCGAACCCCTACGGCAACTGGTCCCCGTATGTTGCCGGTGCCAACACCGACGGCGAAGGCAACACCTATGTGAAGCTCGGATGGAACCCGATTTACCTGGAACCGACCACCCCGTTCCGCAATGAAGTCCCTGAATTCGGTGTCGAGATCGAGTGCGAGGGCGGCGGCTGCAATGGACTGCCCTGCAAGATCGACCCGTCCGTCAACGGCGTGAACGAGATGACTGGCGACAGCTCGGTGGGTGCAGGCGGTGCCACCTTCTGTGTGGTGACGGTGCCCAAGGGCGGCAAGGCCAATGTTGTTGTCTTCGACAAGGAAGGCGACTCGGCCAGCGTGCCGGTGTCCAGCAGCAGTGTTAGCAGCGTCGTCGTCAGCAGCAGCACCAGCACCAGCTCCACCTCGACCATCAGCATCGTCCCTACTACTAGCAGCACATCGACGGTTGTCAGCACCAGCTCCAGCACTACCAGCAGCACCCCGACCCCGACCCCGTCCAGCACTACTACCTCCAGCACCACGCTCAGCTCCAGCTCCACCATCAGCACCACCAGCTCCAGCAGCATCACTCCCCGGCCCACCCCCAGCTGGACGCCTTCATCCAGCTGGAAGGTCAGCTCCAGCGCAGCATTGAACTGGACCGTGTCAGCTAGCTACACGTACAAGCCCCATGCGATGGTGGAGACAGGCTCCTCGCACGCGAATCCTGTCGCTGCTGCTGCTGTTGCTAGTGGTTCCAGCCAGACATCTGGAACTGCCCAAGCAACGCAGTCAGCGGCTGTGACGGATGGTGCTGCTGTTGGCAGTGCTGTGTCCAAACTGAGTCTGATTGTGGCGGTCCTTGGAGCGATCGTGATGGTCTAGACTGAGACCAGACCATATTGACTAACAAACCATAAATGGTTGCATACTCACCATCATTTTTCTTGGTTCACTTCTGATGGGCACCTTTTTCACACTATACTTTATACCCTTATGATTGACGTTCTTGTACATGCTTGACTGATGAGCATTTATTGATAATGTTTACTGTTAATATAGTCATTAATCTGTAATTCAAGTGCCAAATGCCACTTAGCATGATCATAGGGTAGAGGATAGAACAGCCCGCATTCACTTAGTATGACTCCCATTGAACAGTTGAATTCCATCTCTATTTGAGTGAGTAGCAGTGCAATTAAAAAGAGTGTCCAGATAAACCCAAGAAGCAACTCAATACCCACACGCGAAGTGGAGTAGTGTTCAACTACTAAGATGAAGTAGAAACAGAAGATGTACGGAGTTAGTAACCTGTGTCAATGTCAAAGCGGGAAGCCAATCGGCCCACCTCCACCTCCATCTGCAACTGCCTAACATCATCGTCATCTCACCACCTCCCTCTATCTCTACACTCACACGCACCACCACACCCACAACAACAACAATCAGAATGCCTCCCTCACCACAAACAGTACGCCCTCCTCCCCTCTCTTCATCCCCTCCCATCCACACCCTCCAATCCACCACCCTCATCCCCTTCCCCCTCCTCCCCCTCCCCCCGCACCCCTCCAACCACCCCAACATCCCCCCTCCAATCCCTCTAACACCCCCTCCAGGCAAAACTAACCAGCACCCTCCACCTCCTAATCCCACGCCTCCGCCTCCTCCAAAAGAAAGACACCGCCAGCTCGGTCGTCCAACGGCGCGACCTCTCCACCCTGCTAGCCGAGAACCGCTCCACGAGCGCCCGCATCCGCGTCGAGAATGTAATCGCGACCGATACCGCAGTGGAAGTAATGGAGATGGTCGAGCTCTACTGCGAATTACTTCTCGCGCGGGCGAATCTCCTCGATCAATCTGCCTTTGGGGAGAAGGGGGCGCGCGCGCGGAGTAGAGCGCGCGGGGAGGCGCAGCGCCATCTTTCTTCTACTTCTTCATCTACTTCGTCGTCATCTAAAGGTGCAGAAGGGAAAGGATCGGGGTTCTCGTTTTGGGGGTTTGGGCGGAAACAACAACCACAACAACAAACCCATCAAACTACATCACAAGCAGAAGCAGAACAAGCAAGAGCTGAAAGCGGTGGTGGGGAAGAAGCAGGCGCAGTGGAAAAAGAAGGCTACATCGACCCTGCGCTCGACGAAGCCGCGGCAGTGATATTCTACTCGTATGCGCGGTTCCCGCACGATATTCGGGAAATGACGATCCTGCGGGGATTACTTAGCGATCGATGGGGGAAGGATTTCATGATGCTGGCGCAGGAGAATAAGCTGGAGGAGGTGAAGGTTCCGGAACGGTTGGTGAGGGGGTTGAGGGTGAAGCCGCCTTCGGAGGAGTTGGTCGAGAGTTATCTTGTTGAGATTGCGAGGGCGTATGGGGTTACTTGGCCGGATGGGTCTGTTGCTTCGCCGGAGGGGGATGTGCCGAGTTTTGTGGAGGATGAGGATAGGGATGATGGTGATGGAGGGGATGATGGGGATGGGGATGTGAAGTTGCCGTCTACGCCGAGGAAGATTGGTCAGTCTGGTGACAGTGAGGGTGATGCGCGACGGGCATCCGAGACAATGGAGTTGAATAAGGCGACGCCGCCGCGGGGACTATATACCGAGGGAAAGAGTCCGGTGAGTGTGGCGCCGCCGGGGCCGAGGGTGGATAATTTGAACCCCAAGGTCAAGGTACCTGGGGAGGAGGATGTGTCTAAAGAGGCAAGACAATCGAAGCCGGCGAAGAGTGATATACCCGAGTTGGATGAGTTGACGAGACGGTTTGCGGCGTTGAGACGGTGACATGCACATTCCATTTAAACTCACTACATTAACACTTACGATGTTATGATGATAAGCACGAGCAAAACTTCTATTAGATGCCTGCATGCATCCATCTATCTATCCTCTCTCTTCTCTCTTTTGTCATCCAATGCATAATGTAACAACAGGTATAATATATCAACAGCAACCGCTGAACCATTCCAAACCAGATGAAAATCCAAAGCACACGACCGGACACCGCTATGCAATGGGTCCATTATATATATGTACAAGAAGCAACTCTAACGCCTGTGCAGTGATATGGGAAAACAAAACAAGCAAGACTTAGTCCCGCTCTTCTTCCTCACCGGGAAGGAAGACTTCATGTCCGGAACCTTCGTAGACAAAGATGGCTGCCACGCAGCCAAACACCGACACCAATGCAATCAGCCACCAGGCAAATCCGACCATGCCCATCTCCAGACCGTAGCCGTACCACGATCCGGAAAAGATCGGTCCAATGGTACGGAACGCCGAGGACACGGACTGGCCGATGCCGTGGATGGTGCCGAGCACCGATGGATGCGGAGAACAGTTGTTCAGGAGAATGATGGAGGTGGGAAGAGTGAAGGTTCGTGCGGTCACTTGCAGGAACAAGACCACAATGATGGAGAACCACACCCATCCGCCGTTGGCCTGGCCCGGCGGGGGTGCGGACGACGGAGCAAGAGCGATGTATGGCGCGAATGCGTACGCCAGAGGGAAGAGGGTCAAGAAGTACTGGTAACTCTTGGCCGTGCCCAACCGGTTGTTGATGCTGGGGTAGATGGTAAACTGGAGGAGCATGCCAATCACACCGAGAATGGCGGTAGCGAAACCAACACTTTGTGGCAGCATGCCCAGACCGCCAGTGAAAATAAAGGGCAGTCTCTGGACGGGACTGGCCGGGTCGTTGGCATCATAACGCGGGGTCGAGAGGAAAAGCAGCCAGAGGTTGTTGAAAGCACCCATCTGAAAGTCGAAGAAGGCCTGCGCCAACAGCGTGCACAGCACGTTCTTGGTCCAGATCCGGCGGAAAGGCAAGGTGCGAGCCTGACGGCTTGCCTTGGTCGCCTTCTCTTCCATCTCGTAACTTTCGGCCGGGTCTCTACGGTTCAGCAGAGGACCAGCCTCGTCGTAGTCCGCGAACGGCAGTCTCTGGTACAGGGGAGAGTTCGAGGGGACGACTGCCCGGATGCCGCGAGCAAAGATGCGCATCGAGAACACGCCCAGACCGGGCTTGCCCTTGCAAGCTTCCAGAGTCTGTGGAGTCGGTCAGCGGTGCGCATAGCAAATGTCAACAGGAAACATACCTCTTCAAGTCCGATGGCGACACAGACCGCAGCAAATGTCAGGAAAATGCAATTCGCTAGCATGGGCAGCGCATATGGGTAGCGAACGAGCCATTGCACACCGTCGGCGCCGCCGAAAGAAGAATCAGGTCCGAAGAGTCGAGGATACGCCTTGACCGGATCAGCCAGCATACCGCCCATCACTAAAAGAAATTAGCTGTAGCCACATACATCACAGCAGGGTACCTACCAGGTCCGAACAGCGCGGCGACGTTAAACCCGATGGGCAGAATCAGGAACGCGCGCGAGTGGTATTTCTTCTCCTTGACATTCTCCGCAATCATAGTCCGAATAATACCAACCGTCCCGTTGATGGCACCGCCAAACGAACGCCAGAACACGGCCTGCGCGAACGACGTCGAAAAGGCAACACCCAGACAGGACAGCGCAGTACCAATAAGACCAACCAGTAAGACAAACTTGCGACCACCCCATTCTGCATCAGCGACCCGGCCCCAAGGGATAGCTGTTGCAAACTGTGCGGCGGTAAAGGCACCCTGGAGGATACCGGCTTGGGTGGAGACATCGGCGTCGGAGAGGTTCTCATCGAAGGATTTCAGTTGGTAGAACATGTATGCCTGCAGGGAGGCAATCTGGAGGAAGTCGAAGACACGACAGAGACCCAAGAGGGCCAACTGCCCTTTGCGCGGAAGGGACATCCATGTAACGGGTGCTGGACGAGGCCGGGGAGCCGACGAGTCGGCCAGTTCTTGAGGTTGTAGGAGAGACATTTGTGGCTGGCTGTAGGAATGGGAGCGACTGCGAGCGTGTCCAGGACCCCAGTCGAAGGAAGTGTTCCTCACGGCCATGTTGGTGTGAGAGCGATTATCGTCGTAATCGTCGTCGTAGCGGCCGGAAGAGCCCTCAGAAACGTCGGCTAATGAGATGTTGGATTCTCTGCGACGACGTTGCTGAGAAGAGGTGAAGTCCGCGGGGTCGGGTTCTCCGCCTTGATCGTGACCGGATGTCCAGGAAGTGGCTCGGGTATGACGAGCATTCCGGCTCTTAGAGGCTTGAGCGAAGGAGGAGGAGGTGGCCGAGAGGGGGTTGGGAGTGGCCGCTGGAGTAGAGATGGCCGAGGAAGGGGTGGTGGAGGAGAGCGATAAAGAGGGTAGCGACGGACGCCCGGCGGTTCCTTGAGAGCCGGATTTTGGCGCAGGCATTGGAGAGTTACCTTTTGGGGGGGCGGCGAATGATGATAGGGCAGCCCACGGTACTGGAGAAGAACAAGAAGGAAGGGAGGGGCCGGACCGGGGCTTGATGGGTTGGTTTAGGTCAGGTCAGATCGGGATCCACGAAAAGGGAAGAAGCGAGAATGAGAGAATGAGAGAGGAAGTAAGAGAGAGAGAAAGAGAGAGAAGAAGAAAGGAATGGAAAGGGAAGATCGTGAAAAGAGAGAAAGAGAGAAGAGACAGAGAAAGACCATCAGGAGAACTGCCGTACTCAGTAAGAACTGGGAATTACAACTTACTGGATGTACTGAACAACTGATTGTTACTGAATGGAAATTAATCAAGTATAAGCCCAAAGGGGAAATACTCGTGAAACTAAAATAAGCCGAATAAATTAAAAAGAAAAAAAGAATTTAATTTAAAAAAATCATTTTTTTATTCTTTTTATTCTTCATTCGGATCGGCAACGAATCCCCGAGCTTGCGACGACTCTTTTGTCGGTTCTCCACCTCAACTCGTCCGTTCCTTCCTCGTCCAGTCTTTTGGCGTCTTGGCATTCATTCTATCCTCCCCCGTTGAATTTTCCTCTTTTCTTTTTTGGCACTTTTGTTTCGAGTTTGGACACAATTGATACCCACACACTCTCTTTCTCTTTTCTACAAAGTAACTAGATAGGACTAGTAGGATGATACTTCCTCTTATCTCTTTCCCCGGCTAAACAGACCCTCACCAGCGTCTCATCCAGACGACTCACCTGAAAATTTTCCCTTCCCGTTCCCTTGAAACAAAAACCCCCCCCCATCAACATGCGTCTTTTTAGAAAGTTGACTACGTAGCATCAATTCCGACCTCTCCGCTAGTTGATGTGCATGGGGCAGGTGAGTTTTTTTTTTCTGTTGGTTTTTCTGAACGAAAGCTATGCAGGCTGCGTCAGACGTCAGAGATCAAAGCCTTCAGTTCAGACGTACGCAATTCGATGCGTAGATAAAAGTAGTACTAGTAGCGAGTGACGGAAAGTGACATGCAGTTTCGGTTGTTGGTTCGGGGCTGCGTCCGCACGAGTCAGTTTTTCTTTCCTGTCAGCTAGTGCTAAGCAAGCTACTAATTAACTTTGTACTCGTTGTCGGCGTCATCCATTTCTATGGCTCGTTGCCGCTTTGCTCGGCTTTGCGTATGTATGTATGTATCGTCAGCCGATGACCGTCCCGTGTATTAGCCGCTGTATGGTATGGTTCCAAGGTTCAAGGATATGGATGGTATGTTTGAATTGGAGGAAAGGAAAGACTTGTTGTTTATACATGTTTAATATTTATCTTTATATTCATTTATTGGCACATCAATAATCACACATATTATGATGTGCATCTATCTATCGCACATATTGTCCTTCCGCTCGCCAGGATGGACTCCGTTGTTCTGCCAACGGAAAATACCGCGGTGGCTCCTGTGACTTCGTCCAGCGTCGCCAATGCCACCACGGCGTCTCCTCCGATTCCGTCCAGGGCTTGGACCTCTCGATCCTATCGACACTCTCCGTCGATGCCCTCTCCTTCACCCGGCTAAATTGCTGTTGGCGCCGGTATATCCGCGTGATCGTATAGATGGCCACGATGGAAACGATAAAGCCGAAGACGGGGGCGATCCATCCCACGTTGTTATCTAAATTGCGATAGTCAGCGGGGTTATTCTTCCTGCCGTCAGCTGGAGCCTGCTTACCATAAACACTCTTCAAATTGCCGGACCCGCTCTCACTCTCCTCATCATCTCCGGTCTGACCCCAATCGAAGTGTGCGTCAGGGTGATCAGGATCGACCCAAGGAACAGTGTTGATTCCAGCCGGGGGAATCGCAGGTCCAGCGCCCTCCTCGCCGGGCATTCCGTATGTCTGCGCATTCTCACATGATTCCCGGCCACAGTAGCCCTGGAGATCGGGCGACGGCGTGAAGGTGAACATGCTGCGCGACTTGCCCAGAACCTTGCCCTCCACATCCACCGCCTCCGCGTAGGTCCAGCGGTAGAAGTGCGGTGCCGAGTAGCTCGTCTCAAATCCTCTCTTTTCGGTCTGCTTGATGAGCATATACGGGCCAGTCGAGTTGGTCGCACCGTAGAACCGCCAGTACTTCACCCGCGTAGCTCCGTTCCAGCTAACGTAGAACGTCGTCGGAGAGAAGGTGTCGGTAGATTGCGAATACGTCCACAGAGCCGGCACGTCGGTAGGCATTCCATCCCATTCGAACTTTTGCGCCCGGTAGTTCATGATGCGATCCTTGTCGATGTAACCCCAGAGCAGCACGTTGCCTTCTTCGTCATGTTCCGAAACATAGGCGTTGTTACCCCACCCAATGAATACGTTCTTGTTCGGAAGGACTTGCATGTTACCCTGACTGGAGCTTATCATGGTCTTGCCGGGAGGAGAGTAGTCGTGCAGCTGAGTGGCGGTGTTGTCTTGGTGATCGATCAAGATAATCATGCCCGAGGAGTAGTCGTGGGTACGGTTGAACCCATTGTACCCGTTGTTGTACAGTGACAGCAAAGTGTGGGTGGAGTTCTCACCAAGCCACCGCGCATCGTGCTGCTGCGAGAAACTGAAGTTAATGTTCTTAAACGTAGGATGCGCTCCATGCAACCGCCAGATGATTGATCCATCCTTGCCGGAGATCTTGTAGATCGCGCACGTGTGGCGCGAAGAGATCAAATAATCGCCGTCGGCGTTCTTGTCGATCGAGTTGATATGGAAGTAATCCCAGGGCGAGCGCGGGTCCAGCCCAGTGCCCGAAGTATCCGTGTGACTTGGCCAGGTGTAGGCATCCGAAGGGTCGACGTGGTCGAGGGACTTCCACTCGAACAGAACTTCGTTGGTCTCCACATCCACCTCTTGGAAGACACTCTCCATCACCCATCCCATGCCGGACTTCACGTTCCACGGGGACATGTCGAACTGTCGCTGCTGGTAAACCGTCATCAAGGCAGTCTTGCCGTCATTGATAGGCATGAATTCGTGCATATCGCTGGATGCCATGCCGCCCCCGGGAACCACGGTTCGGACGATGCGATAGTGGTCATCCATGATGACTCCATGACCTCGACAATACCCATTTTGCTGCACACCCTGAAAGAAACACAAGTGATCTTTTCCCTTGTATTTGCAAACATGCATGCCGTGGGCATTTCCGGGGCCCGAGTTACCCCAGCCGCTCCAGACTAGGTTCTATAACATGGTCAACACCATACAATACACTCGGGCGGGAATATCAGAAGCGTACCCCCTCATCATCATAGATATACGGGCCGGAATTGGACGCTTCGTACGGGCCGACAAAGATGTAGCCCGGGCTTAGCTTGTCGGGAACCCTATGTTCCAAAGTAAGGACTGGGGGATAGAGATCGGGTCGCTGCAGGTGGACGTCGAGACAAGGTTAGCGATCCGGGTGGCGAACATCTTGGCTACTATTGCGTGCAAGCAGCTGCGATAACGCTAAAGCGGGCGCAACTCACAGATTTGAAGACCGAATCGATCTCTGCGACGACAGTGTGAACGCATGCGAATAATAATAGCGCCACACAGGCGACTATGGAGGACGGAGCCGATCCCCCGGCGATATGAGTGAAGGCCACCATGGATTCTTTACATCACTTGCTCGGAGTGAGCTCGGAAGTTGATAGGAAGATCGAATGAACGAGAGGGAAACAGAGAAAAAGGAATGTCGATGAAAGATGAAAAACAGATGCAGATGGCGAGAAAATCCCACAGTCAATGCAGGGCCACCTGATCGGGGTGTCAAGGTATGTACCGAAGTATGTATACAGGGATGAAAGAATGGGGGGAAGATCGGGGAGAGTAGGGGAAGGGATCAGCGGTTAATGATATAAAGGGAGGAAGAGAGGGCGAGAGGGAGAGAGATAGTAGAGGAGACGAAAGCGGCGAAACAAGGACCACAGGACGCTCTCGACTTTCTTCCTCTCCTTCTGTTTGAATCCTCTTTTTTTCCCCTCTGGTCTGCTTTTTTTGCCCGCAAACCGCCGGGGATAACGTTTGGCAATCCTGCTTTATGCTTCAGGCTGGCCACAGTTCGTTACACCCGATTTCCTCGTTTCGTAGGTGGAGTCGTGCCAAGCCCGGCCAACGTACGATGACACCCAATGTGGATTAGCCATGGCGAGCCGGAGTTCTGGAAATGTAGTGGCTACAAGCCATCATTGGTTGATCGGGGCGGGGACAGGATAAAGGTTCCCACCCCGATCCGGCACTGGCTGTTCATGTTTATTGCAGTCGTGCAGCAGGGATTGAAATCTCCATACCTCAGACTCAAGAGGCACAGTTGGCATGGCATACAGAGGCAGCAGCGTGTGTTGGTCCCTACCGACATATGACAGATAATGATTCGGTCTGTCAAAGAGAGATGTGTTCCAAGGTACAGTATAGTAATAGTAAGATAACTACAGTTTGTGAATTTCCACAACTCTAATCGTCATCACGTTGCGCAAAGATAGGCGATCTTTGTGGCGCATTTGGCACCTGCCTCGTAACTAGGAGAATTGTCTATCCTAATGCTTAGTTCGGGCACTTATTTACTGAACACGTTGAAGCACTACGTAGACATGACCTCCTGACCATCCTCATTTCATCTCTATGAATAGAGCGTTCCGTCTACAGCAACATTGCCTATTCTGTGCAGCAGCACCGTATTCAAGTACTCCAACGATCCAAAAGATAGAAAAAATGATAATGATTAATACTATCACACCACAAAAGCAGCCAAAAGAATCAGCGCCATGAAAGGTATAAAAAGCAAAGACTTGAACCCCCATCTACTTTGTGCTCAGCTCACAGCTACGCCGCAGACAAGCACTACCATCTTGCGGAGAGAGAAACATACGTACCCCCTCCACGTAGTGCTTCCCCCAACCCCATCGAGTCTAATCCACGCCAGTCCTCACATCCCAACTAGCACAAATCACAGCACCAATTGAACCATCGTTCCAGCTAGCTAATAAAAGCAGCCGCCACTAGATAATTAGATCCTCCCTTGAACCCTTCAAATAACACCACTAATTACTCTGACTACTGGAGATAAAGATAGATACAACAGACACACACGTAACCATTACCGGGGGGTATATTTACATCCGTACGGACCCGGTAAACCATGGAACCAACAACCCCCCGGGCAAATTGAGTGTGTTTCGTTAACGCCGAACCTAAACCCCAATCAGGAATGGTCGCCACGCTGCCACAGCAAAATTTCATGGATTTCATGTGCAGGCTAGACCAAGGGGAACTGAGAAGAAGGAGGGGACCCATGCCGACGCCACGTCACGCCACGGTTGTGGTTGGAGGCTTGGAGCAGGAGAAAGAGAAAACTGGTGGAGTTGCGAGGAAGGAGACTTCTCCACTCTCTTAGTTTGATTGATTGATTAGTTGGATGGGCTGGGCCTTTCACTAGGTACTAAGGTACCTGTTCTAGTCGAGGTAGGTAAATTATCTGCCGGGACGAAATTGGAGTGCTAGTCAGGGCTGTGGTAGGGGATGGGATTCTTTGATCACCTATCTTGTAGATAGTTGTTGTTATTTAGAGAGTTTTATTGTTAAAGGTAGTAGATAAGTAGTTATGTATGTGGTTGAGAATGTCATGGCTGGCTGTATTCCTCATTGAGCCCTGTCACGCTTAGTCAACTACATGAAAAGAAAAGCGAAATGAACAATGGAGACAACCCCAACAATAAACAGTGCCTGAATGGCTTGGCAGCAATCCAATAGTCCAAAACAAAACAAAAGAAACAGAAAACAAAAATACAAAACGAATACGACACCGGATCACGAGTCACACAGAGATTTTGAATCCTGGCGCTTGCAGAACATGTACTTTCCTTATGCTGCATTGGATGCATCACAGCACAACACAACATAACTATTTACACTCTACGTATATAATTTTAGACATGTTCATACGCACGCACACACACTGGCCTTGGAACGTAAGCGCTGCACTCTCATCTCCGAATCCTTGGCTGTATCAGCGGAACTCTATAAATAGGCGCCGCCACAGCGCCCCTTTCGTCGCAGCACAGCTTCAAGTTTAGGCGGCGGAGGCGGCGGGTATAGGAGCCGCTTATTTTTGAGAGTCATGGCTTGCATAACTCGCTGACCAACCGACCAACCAACTGACTGGTTAAAAGTAATTCGGATCTTTTTGAGTGATTTATGCTAGACTCATTGGTTTATGCTCCACGTGCTGCTTGTCATTGCGCATTAGGGTTGTAATGTTGTACTTTGTTGTTGCCAACTGGCAGTGAGTATCTACTCCGTACGGCTTATTGATATGGTTGGTTTAATTTCCGTCATGCGCTGGGCGGACGCCTTATGCATGCACCTTGGTCGATAGATCTGCTGTAAGCAAGCCTGAAGTACCGAGCGGAGTTAGTATCTGATCAATGAGCATTATGAACGCTCTGCTTACCGCCAGGCTCAGCTCGCATACATACAAGGCTGTGTGATGAGTATGACAAGGATTGGATTGGGCTGGGAACCGCGCCGCCGAGGACGTGCCAAGCGCAACGGGTTGAAGTCGCACAGCCCATGTCAGCGACCGCCATGGCCTTGTAGGGCGCGCGACAACTCCCTATGCAGGCCAAGACGGATGCTCGGCGCCTTCCACCGTGCGAGGACGAGGGGGACGGGTGGTTGGAGTTGTTGGCTGTGACACCGCATGCCGAGGCTCGCCTACAGATTACTTACACATTACAAACCCCCCGGCCAAGAATACACCATACGGAAGCAACCATGCTAATAGGCTAAATAATCTATATTCATCTCTCGTCGACTCCATCCACGCCAGGCAACAAGAATCCAAGACCGGTCCCTGCGCAATAAGTCTAACCAACATAGCCAAGAAAATTCCCCCCACTGTAAGCCATAGAGCGAGAAACCCAGCCAAGAGCCAAGGAAATAGCAGAACATCAGTGCACAGTATTAGCAACAAATACCCCTGAGAAGGTGGTACGCTCATCGGTATATATCAACATGAGAAAAGCAGTTTTGGGAATAATTAGGGAAAATAGAGCAAAGATCCGCAGCATTGGCGCCCAGCGCATGCTGCAAAGGGAAAAGGCGAAGGAAATTCAAAGAACCAGGCAGCAAGCAAGCGCATCTACCGAGAGAAACGCTTGAAAGCCATGGTAGCAACCAAGCCGGTCGCCAGCAGAGCACCACCCATGGTGACAGCCTGCAGAGCGGCGTTCAGCATCTGGCGCCTGTTGCGGCCGCGGCAGCGCTTGAAGAAGTCGGCCATGTCGTTACCGCGGGGGAAAGGAGTGTCGGGGACCTCCTCACCCAGGAACTCGCAAAGCGGGCCCCAGCCCTCGCCGATCTTGTACTCGAGGAGCCTCTCGGGAGGAACCAGGCTGCGGACCTCCTCAACGTGGTCAAGGTAGACCTGCTTGCCCTTGTTGGGGAAGTCGCCGCGGAAGAAGGTCTGGAAGAACTTGTTGAGCATGGGGTAGTACATGCTAGCGGCCCAGCTGAAGTTCGAAACGAACTTGTGCTCAGGGTCGGAGACACGCCACCAAACGGTCTTCATGACGGAACTATAGGGAATCAATTAGACTATGTTCTGGATCACGGAACGAACGAGTATAACATACGCATGCCACGAGTCAACATCACGGGTGGTCAGAATGACCTTGGCGTTGGGGTAGGCCTCGATCAGCTCCTTAGCAAAGGCACAGGCAGGCCAGTCACAGACGGCCTTTAAAAGAGTCAGCGTGCGAGTTCGTTGCGAGTAATCTATAGTAGCAACCTACCTGGCAGTCTCCCAGAAGCTGATCCCATTCCTTTCTACCGAACTCGCCGACACCGTCGTACTTGGCAGCGAGAGCATCGTGCCACATCAGGCAGTCGGGAGGGTTCTCCATACTGGCGGACATCATGTGGTAGGTCTTGACGTAGCCCAGACGTTCGAGGGCAATGCGGAGGGCTGTTCACAGAGCCAGTCAGTCATGCAATCCGTCGTCTGCCTCCGAAGTAGCACCTACAAGCAGTTCCGGTTCTTCCCACACCCAGAGCCAGCACCTTCATGGGCACGGTGCGGTGGCACTTGCGGCGGTCGATGCAGGTGTCATCGGTGAAGATATCAGTGATTGGCTGGGGAGCCAGGTTGTCGGCGTGAATCAAAGACATGATGGATTATCGGCGGAGATAGATGTGTGGTTTGAAGTAGTATAGTAAAGCGAACTGGATGGACTACCCAGGGGGCTCGCTGGGGGTGTAGTGTAGTAGTAATGAAGGTGTTACTCTGCAAGGGACCGCTGGTCGCAAAGGAAGGAACAGGTCTAAGGACAGAAGACGAACTGAATCCAACCCGAGGAAGACAGACAGATAGACAAGGATAGAGACAAGAGAAAAGAATGGAAGAGAAGAAAGAAAGAAAGAAGTGGATTCCAGAGCAGGCGTTGCAGAGATTAAAAGGAGCCCGGGAGTAGATCAAGAACAATCAAGGTGATGGAGTCGTAGATAACCCAGAAGGACCCAGAAAGGTTAGTCTCGATGGTGGGAGGGTAATAATAAGATCAGACTAGGAAAAGCACCTTGGCGCCTCTGCGCCGAAAGAGTAAATTAAATTATTTGCAATTTCTGGATTTTGAATATTTTGGATAATAGTAAATGACGGCCAGACTGAATGTGGCAACTTTCCTGTCTTCTGGGGAAATCCGCGACGGAAACCTTGGATTGGTCTGGCCGGTCGTTTGGATCTTCATCCACTTCTCTGGACCATTGGAAACATGAATACTTCTGAAACGGCGTGCGTTTTTTTCTTTCCCCAGTATACTTTTTGTTGTCAAAATTATTATGTTTTTAATTTCTTGATTCAAGTGATTCTTGTTCACCTTTTTGCAATCAATTATTCATTTCCATCCCCTCCATCCCTCCCTTTCCCCGGCGGAGACCCGCCGGTTGCTCAACCCACGTTCTGCAAACATTCCTCACAAGGATGGAAGTGACATTGATAAACCACCTTGTCGATAGTAATGTAGGGCCAATAATAGAGTAGGGTAGTACTCCTGGGGTACAAAGTATAACCGAAGGGGAATCCATCCATTCATCCATCCCTCCCCTCCTTCCCCCCCCAAAAAAGAAACCTTGGATTACCCGACAGAAAATAGACGTCACCGGCTGACGTTCACCCAAAAAAGCCAGAAGGATAGTCAGGGGGTGGATTTGGTTCTCCTCCACTCAACATGAGGAAGCAGATGAATTTCCACGAATCTCGCCAAGGGGAAACCCGAGGTGCTGGGCCAGTCACAAGCGAGCAGGAGGCGAGAGGGGATTCAGGGAATCAATCAATTCGACTTCCGGGAGACCCAGTAGCGGTGCGCGGCGGGGCTCCCAGCAAGAAGCAAGAAGCAGAAGGGGAAGGGGAAGAAGAGATGGAAGATGGGAAACATGCCAAGCCCGGCTGTCGCTGCATCCCAGGGATCGGCCGCGTAGGCCTGCGTTTCGCCGGTCGATCGTTGAGCTTCTGGATTCTCTGGATTGGATCTTGTCCTCATAGGCTCAGCTGTCGAACCGTGCCCGGACTCGCACTCATTGGTTGAAGCCACAGTTGACGACGCGTACATTTCTCCGTCTGTTGCTGGATAGTGCCACTCCCCGCCCGGGCTAATGTTAAGCCACCCACGCCATACCAGCAAGTAAAAATAAAGAACAGAAAAAAAAAGGGGAAAATAATGGTTGAACTTTCTACTTCGAACATTTGAAGATGGAAAGAAAAAGAGCCGTGCGTGTCAATTTCCAGCAAGGTCTCCGCTCAGGGATACATACATGGTACGAGTTACGAAATGCGAAGCAGAGAAAAAGGCCTGAAACGTATCCTCTCCTTCCATCTCCACCATACTCCAGGGTCTGTTCTGTTACGTATCATACTGAATATGCCCCTGCATTCCTACCTGTGCGGTGTAAGGGTGGAAATCTCTGCAAACTATGCTGAGCTGCGGTGTTTACCAACACACCCATTCTGCTTTGAGATATGTATGACCTGCAGAGTCGTCTGTCGATGTGTATACTTCGGACATGGAATGTTCACCCATGAAATCCTTGTTCTGTAAGCCGGCATTGGGGTAACAAAGGTAGTGTGTAATTAACATGGCAGGGAGTGGCATTAGTTCATTAGTTCTCTCCATTTCACTCCTTCCCGTGCTGCTATCCCAATCCGGCTAGTCTCTCATCCTGGTCAACACCATGAGCATCTAATCTTGACGACTCTTCACCCTTCAGTATTTTGTTCACAGATCCATTGCCAGACCGACAGTGGAAGACCGCTTGGATCGCTTCAACAATAACCATGGCGCTATGACACCTAGCTGCGTGGACAGGCAGTAATCCACGCCGTTCAAAGCAGCCCGAAACGAACTGGATCTGTGTACTGACAAGCTACAAAGTATATGGCTCTCGAATCTGAATCCATCTATTGAAGCCCCACATCTGCGGCGACAATGAAAGCAAGCTTCTCCGGGAAGCCTCCGTAAAGCGTGCGTGCAAATGAGCTGTCACAATCAGGACATTGCATTCAAGTGCGTTGGACATGACCCTGATCCCACTACAGAGAGCTTAGAGCGGTATTGGAACTTGTCCTATCTCATTGTGGATCTAGAGAAAGATCGACGGCTTTTCTACGAACAATCAAGGTCCTATACGGTGTACAACACACGAAAGAGGAAGCTCTTGCCAGATATCATGTTTCGAGTATCCCAGGTAGGTAATCTAAGCGTCTGCTTAGAGCTTGGCCTGCGAGTCCAGTGCCCGACACCATCCACTACGGTGCTGTTCAGTGTCCACAATCTTGCCGTGCGGATGCCCTGACACCGACCCGTGCCTTTGTTCCACTGTGGAACGACTTGGAGCTTGAATGGTTGTCTCCATCTGGTGGCGGCAGTACACTTCCACGTCGTCGTCCGCGTAACTTGTCCAAGCCTCATCCATTCTATCCCTCTGCGCCAATTGCAACGGTGCATGGCAATAACCTTCAGGGCAAGCATTTCTAGACTCAAACGGGCCAGATGAAAGAAACAATAGTGTGATTCCTCGTGGAACGCCACCCTTGGATGTGATCAACTCTGACAGTGGACAATATGTTGCCCGTATAGGCTGTGTACCCACAATATCCCGAGGCACGGGCTGTCTAAGGTTAACCGTCAGGAGATATTCGAGCAAATAATTTCCCCGACTTGCCCATGAGAACATGTTGCATTTGGTCAGTGTATCATGCGACGCAGATATAACCTGACAAAGTGACATAGACCTCTTTGCTGACGCTTGCTCATCTGCCGATTTGGCCACTTCAGTTGTCTGTCTACCTCGCAAGCACCTGCGACGTGACGTGTGGTGGTGGCTCAGCAAGAGGACGGCGTCAACTTTACTGCAATAGTCGTTTCCGAACCAAAGAGGAAAATTCGAGATGATCCGTCTGCGAAACCAGTCTCCACATGTTATGAACACGCATAATCAGACAATCCCCACGCACTTCCGACTTGCCTCGTCTTGGTTGTTACGGCCGAGCCTAGAAAATTGAAACTCGCCTTACCCGACCCAGTCCAAGCTGGTGCTACGGTCGACTAGTCCGACTGCCCCGTGAAAGTGGAATTGACTAGTGCCGCCCTCTCCGCAAGCCAGAAGAGTCTCGAAGGTCTATGCGGTCGTGAAGGCGAGGAGACTGGTTCAACGAGAGTTATTTCCTAAGGTTTCTTGAAATTCCCTGTTCCCTCATTTCCTGCCTCCCCCTTTTTCTTTCTCAAAATCCCGCGCATCTAGGGACAAAGTTGGAAGTAAGTTGGAAATTGGCGGAGTGATAGGCCAAAAGCTCGACTGATAGTCATCTGGGCAAAGTGGGCATGGATCCCGTCCCCTATCAATCAATCAGACGACCAGTCGTTAGATGAATCGTCGTAAGCCCCATCAACCTGCCCATATCAAGGACCGCTATCACTGGCGAGCCATCCGACGTGGGGTTGTGGACCCATGGGATACCAATCCCCAAATCTCCGTCGAACTGCATGCGCTCGACCAAATAGGTGATGCGTTAGGTAACGTTATCAACTTGTCACGGCGGTTTATCTCCACGATGGTTGATCGCAACACGACTGGTGGGTGAATTATGCGTAGTCTGATGAGGATCTGCCCTCTCCTTCCGGTTTCTGCTACGGAGCACGAGCCGGTGCGGCATTATCAGCAAGACAGGCCAGCTTGGACGTTGTTGAGCAGTTCATGAAGCCGAGACAAAGGTGATACAGCGGTAATTCTTTCCCTGCGTACGGACGGTGTAACGAGATTGAGACGGTGGGTAGGTCCCAAGTGCCGGTGCCGTCAATCAATCTCCGTCACAGTTCACCGATCCCAGGCCAGTGCTTGTCGGACCATTAGAACCAAGAAGGAGGTGTGCTTCCGGAGTGGGAGGGTTGTCGAAATCGGTGTCCTCAGGCCATCCAGGCAGGTCGGATGCGATGACCACCATAAGCGTGCAGGGTAACGATGCAGTCGTGCATCAAGCAAAGCAAATCCATCAAAAGAAAGAGTGTGATTAGGGTGAGAGGCCCCTTATGTATGGATTGCCAAGAGCTGCTGTCACCATCGTCGTTGACAGGCTCGCAATCGCCGCCCGCAATCACCTCATCTCCTCGGGGTATGTCGACCCAGGCAGGAGGTAACCCTCCCCCAGTCAAGAGCACCCACAATCAACCACATTTCTGGAATGGAGACGAACTACGGAGTCCTATTAGCTCTGTCATTGACAGACAGATAAGCTTAAATTATCTTGATGGCGCGGCCGTTGCGTGCTGGCTGCGTTGAGTGGTCCGGTCTCAGTTGTGAGATGTCTCGGGTGATCCGCTGTCAAGCATCGCGGCAGTGAAATTCGGCTGTTGGAGGTCAGGCAGCAGCCATACCCCGTGTGAGTGCAAAAATAGCGGACACACTTGGTCCCTGTGAACCCCTGGCAGACCCTGAAAGTGGCCCAGAGAATGGCTATAACTGCACTAATTACAAGCATCGCATGGCGCTTATTTGAATGGAATCTACTCGATTGGACAGTAGGGATGCAGGTAATCCAGAAAGGGTATTAACAGTCGCCAACCACATACAACATTGGAAACAACCGCATGCAATAATGATATATAAAGAAACACGCCCAGACTTGATATCAGCCTAATGAACCCCTAACTCCTCTTGACCATATCCCGTGGTCATATATGCAATTGTATCGCCATGTAGCGATCTTTATACTTCTCCCTTCTTGCTATAACCCCCCAATATTATGTCCCTCATTCCAGCTTATCCAAGTGTTCCAACCTTGTCAAAACAACTTGCTTGCTTGTTTCTTCAATCTCTCCTGCAAGGAACACCTCGTCCAGAATAGCGTATACCTGTACAATCATCAGCCTCGTCTGCCCTCCCTTCCGGTTCCAGACAATCCTCCACCACCCTATAGCTCACTTACCTTGTAGAAGTTGAACACCAAGTCCAGCTCACAGACGTTGCCAAAGAACTGATCCAACACCTCGACAAAGAAATGGATCGCTTCGAGGTAGGCCAGTTCGTTGTCGGTTGCATCGACGCAGGCGCAGAAGAATAACCCCGCATATCTCCGGTAGACGACCTTGGTACTCCTCTTGAACTCGACGAAATTGGACTGGTATTTCTGGTCTCGCGGGGCGACCAGGCGATGGACCTATCCAGCATACATTATTAAATCGTTCCGCGGCGGGGTGTAGTAGTAGTGGTGGTGGTAGTTGTCGGGAGGGGCATATAACGAACCTCGCCCTTTAGCTTGACTTTTTCTTCATCCTATCATGAATTAAGAGTGTTAGATGGTATTCGAATCTGTCCAAGTAGGGATGCACTTACGCTATACGGCGCATACCATTTCGCGAGCCGCGTCTTCCCCCTGTTCCTGCGTTAGGGGGTGTATTTCATGCATGGAGATGGGGCATCCCGGGGGAACGCGGGGTATGACTTACTGGCGATTTTGCACCAGAATAAATGAGAGAACCATCCCGTAAGTAGTAATTGCAAGGGAGGAGACCAATGAGGGGGGTAAATAAGCAAAGCCAGAAGTGCAACGGGGGTATCACTTGTTCTCCGCGGTGTCTCCGGCGGACAATGCGAGTCGAGACTCCATACTGCCGGTGCTGACCGCTTTGACCGTTGGGTCACCGATTGACTTTAAGCTTTCCAGATCGAATCTGCAGACAACCAGCATAATGAGATTGATTTTCCATTGTTTTCACCGACTGCTCGCTGGGATCTCTGGAAATCAATAGTCTCTTCTACAGTTCTTCTCTCCTTTTAATCCAGCCCAACCCTTAAATTATTAGTCCTCTCTAGATAGGTGGTAAACAAGGAAAGAAACAAAGAATCCAACATTCGAATCCGGCCTCACGGAGAGACCCTGCATATATCATCTGCCTTTTTCTGCTCTTTTCGCCTTTTTCTCTTTCATTCTTTCCCCTGCATATTATCTATCCCATCCCGCGCTGTGCAACCAACTATTTCCCCCAATCCGAATCCGCAATGCGCAACCCCTAGACTCACACGATCTTTTCTCTGTCTTTCTCTCTTTCTCTCTTTCATCATCCATCTCTCCACTTCTCTCCTCACCTCGCCGAGATCCCGATCTTAATATGAACTACTACTCCTCCCCACAATACTACCGATCACCTCATTCATAAAACAGCACCTCCTCCCTTGCTTCACCCACTCTCCTCATTTCCCTCCCCCCCCCCCCCCCACACACCACCCCCTTCCTCATCACTACCATCAACTACCATCCAACAAATTTCTGCAGACGGCAGATTAAAATAATAAAATGCCCGTCTACATGCTCTACGGCTTTCGCTGGCCGCGCGCCGGCTTTACCGGCATCCGCGTATACATTGTTCTCCACAACCTGGAAGATGCAACAGCCGAATACCTCCAACAACCCCTAACTAGCGAACTGGTCATGGAATCGCTCAAAAAGACCGAACCAAGCATCATCTCCCGCCTACCTAACCTCCGCTTCATCGAGCAATACGACCCCGAAGACACAAGCGACGACGCAGTTAGTAAGCCATACGCCTACGTCGGTGGGAAAGTCATCTCCATCCCCGAGGATGTCGGCCCTACTCCCGAGACGAGCTGGAAACCAGAAGACATTTTCAAGGAGGAGCCGCTGGAGAAGGACGCCATGGAGGCCTTGACGGAGTTTCGGGATAAGTATGCGGCTGGAGAGCGCATTGGCTGGTGGATTGTGTATAATGGTGATCCGGAGAGGTGGTTCCCTCACGATGAGGAGGAAGATGCGGATAGTTTCGATGATGGGTATGATGAGGAGGGGAGCTATGCCGATGGTGGAGAGTATGAGAGTGATCAGACGCAGACGCCGCCGGAGACGCCTTCTTCTGCTACGGTGGGTTATTCTTCTGGTTGATTTATGATGAATCTTTTGCTAACGGTGATTGCGATTGTATAGATGCGATTCCCCGAACGGTTGACTCGATTGTTTGCTAGGCGAACAGCTTGATGGCCACGGCTATGGCTATCTCGCAATCCTCTCTACGGCTTATGACGTGTGCGTGGCTAGTTGCTAGCATTTTGTTTCTACCAGAAAGCGGGTTTGGGTGTTTGGGTTTGTGCATGTGGTTTCATTAGCAGTGTTCATTTTTGGCGTGATGAATATCTATCTATTCTGGTTTCGTTCCTCATCAGCGACGGTCTTTACATAGTACCGTATCCGCCCTTCTGCCAGCTAGCGTCGAAGGTGGCCTTGTCGACAGCGAACTCCCGGATGTAGTCCTTCTCCAGGTCGTGCGCTCTCTTTCCGATCAACACCAAGCTGTGCAGAGGCCGGCCCATCTCGACCTCGGCCAGTTCCTTCAGGGTACCAGCAACCAGCTTCTGGTCTGCGGCACCCACACGCGCCGCGCCGACAGCAAGACTGTCCGGACCCCAGACGCCTTCCTGGCGCTCCTCCTCAGTCTCCAGCATCTGACCTGCACACTGCGCAACGGTCATATAGCGAGGGGGCTCGTAGACCAAACGGCCCCGGGCCATGTTCTCCAGCGACGGCTCCTTGACCTTGATGTCCAACAGAACCAATGTGTGCAGACCCAACTGAACGTTCTCCTTGACCCGATCGTAGTAGGATGAAGGCTTCCAGTTCTCGGTGAAGAAGACCATGCTGACGGTCTGGCCGAAGTTGTACAGCTGCAGACCCGTGCAGCCGATACCGGACATGATGGAAGCGTTGGGGATGACCTTGGATTCGATGCCCAGTTCGCGGGCGCGGAGGACTAGATCTGTGTGTGTGGTGGCGCTGACGGAAGTCAGATAACATGCCAATGTCGCGCCAGAGGATATTGAGTACTATACATACCCAAAGGGATCACCAACGACGAGGAAAGCAACATCGACCTTGTCGGCGTCGGCGAGAATCTCATCGCTGCCACTCTCGACCTTTTCGCGGTCGGCCTCGATAACAGGACGTCCATAGAAAGCTTCCTACTAAACCGATTCATTCCAGTTAGTCAATTCCGCACCCTAGAACGCATATCATGTAGTACTCCATCAGGCGACACTCACTAGTTTCTCCTTATCGACGAGCAGAATGGCCGTGTATGCCTCCAGATAGACACGCTCGGCCTTCTTGACGATCTCCAGACCGCGGACCGTAATATCGGTCTCATCAGCCAGACCAAGTCCTACCAGGTAAAGCATGGTGAATGTACAATTTCAAATACCAAGAATAATTGGAATTGTAAATGTTTGTGAATCTTCCCACCAGCCGGGAAACTTTCGATATTCCCCCACCAAATGCGGCGGAGGGCAGCCGGATATCGGATCATGTGATGATCCGGCTATGCACTGCACCCAGTCCAGTCACCTGAGGGTGAGATTCACGTGCACCAACCAGCATCCAGGCACGGTTTCCTTCTTTCATACTTCGCTGCTTCGAATGGATGCCACATTGTCAATATCCGTCCTATCTTGATCCTGAGAAGACTGAGATTCGGACTTTCCTTGTCAGAGTATCTGCAGTGGAGCATGCTCGATCAGTGTTCCTATAACCTGCATCATGTCGACTGATCGTACCCCCAAGTATCGGCAGGAGATCCAGCAGGTAAGCATTTGTTCTGATTTCCTATCTGGTCTGGTGCTGTGAGAACCAGTGATTTGTTTCTCTCTTCTTTATTTTGGGTGCGGCTGCGTGAGTCTAGTCTATTTGTGGTATCATGCTGGCTCTATTTGTCGCTGCTGTGATATGTGATGCTCCGCTTTATCAATGTGATCTACGGAGCTTCATTGAAGCAGCGGTAATGCATGAGAATGGTGAATTCTAGCATGCAATGGTGCTTTGCTCCTTTGCAAAATGGGACTTTAAAGGATCTTCTGACTGGAAGTGTTCTTCTACTTCTTGCCAACTCGCTTGACTGGGGTCTACTTGGATATTGCGAGTCTGCTTGTTGAAGGCACTATCTCCAATCATGTCTGCGGATCCCTATGATTCGGATGCTACTATCTCGTGGCATGGATGGGACCATTTGGAAGATGGCCAAATGACGACTGCACCGCCAGTGCCAGTTGTCCCGGCTGTCCCAGCAGTCCCAGCCGTCCCAGCAATCCCAGCAGTCCAGCAGCAGCCGCGCGACGAACCCTTGGACCTGTACATGGGGATGGATGCAGAGACCAAGGAGGAGTTAAAGGAAATGCTAATTGGGTTTTCTCGCAAGATGATGTTCGTCTCTGGTGAGACTGCCGAACCGTCCGTTGAAACCACGACTCTCATTGAGGATATTGTGCGCCAGCAAGTTGTTGAAATCGTATGCTCTTTACCCTACTATTTTGCGAACTCCGCTAACTCTTGCAGCTCGCAAGAAGCACTGCCCTAGCGACTCGTCGCGGCGTGCGGTCCATCTCTACCGATGACTTGATCTTTCTCATTCGCCATGACAAGGCAAAGGTGTCGCGTCTCAAGACGTTCCTGTCCTGGAAGGATGTCCGCAAGAACGTGAAGGACTCCGACGACAAAGGCGGTGCTGATGCTGCAGACTTCGCAGGAGCTGATGACCCCATTGCCGGCGGAGTCGTCGCAGGACCGCAGGATGTTGCGTCAAAGCCCAAGAATAAGCGTGCTCGCGTTGGTCTCGCCTGGGACGTGAACAGCTTCTACTCGGTGCAGGTTCCCGAACGCGAGGACGAAGAAGATGAAGAGGAGGAGGAGCAGAACTATGCTACGCTCCAGCGCCTTGCCGCGGCCGATGAACGTACCAAGAACATGACCAAAGAAGAGTATGTGTTCTGGTCAGAATGTCGCCAGGCATCGTTCACGTACCGCAAGAGTAAACGGTTCCGCGAGTGGGCCGGATTCGGCATTGTGACTGAGTCCAAGCCCAACGACGATATCGTTGATATTCTTGGTTTCTTGACTTTCGAAATTGTGCAGACTCTGACCGAGGAAGCACTCAAGGTCAAGGAGCGGGAAGACCGCGAGAAGAACCGTCGTGGAGGTGGTGAGAACGGCGAGAGCAGTAAGAAGCGTACACGCGAGACTGGATTGTTCGATCCCCCTGAGGAGGGTCGTACCCCGGTTGAGACCAGACATATTCGCGAAGCGTATCGGAAGCTGCAGGCGACTCCTAATAAGAACATTGCCATGCTGCTGCACAATGGACGCCTGCCGGCTAAGATGCCATTGCGATTGGTAAGTCCAGAAATGATGTTGGATATGATGGTAGATGCTAACTATGACAGATTTGAGGAATTATTGGCGTTAGCGACGGCGTGGGCCCCAGTTTAACGATACCCTTGGAGTTACGATAACATGATTTCTTATTTTTCGGTGCTCTTGGTTGAACTTGGTTGATTCTATTGATAATCAGGTTGATGGACTGGTCCTTTGGGAACTGGTCCTTTGGGATTGACTGGTCTGGATTGATCTTTTGGAGCTTTGGGAATCATGTTAACGGATTGGATGTTTCTTTTGTTTTTCATTTGTCAAGTGTTACTTGATTGAACATCTTGTATGAACATCTTGTATCACTAGTTGTTTACCTTCGTCTCGTTCGACCGGTCTACTCGATTGAACTTGTTAGTTCAGCCTGGAGCTGTTTCCATACTCGTTCTCTTGTTGACTAGTCTTACTTGACTGAACTTGTCTACTTGCAGCTTGAAGCTAGCACATCAATTAATTGACTATCTTGCAGTCCTACAACTGACATAATCCTGGTCATATCTCATTCCCATATCAACCACCTGCACAGACTTACTCAGGATGCGTCCGTCTCCCTAAACCCAACGTTAGCAACCACACCAACCCATCATCCCCGAAGGAGAAGAAAGAAAACTTACACTCATCAAACTCGGCCCTCCCCACCTCCCTAATACTATTAACAGCCGGCACATCCCCCCTCGCCACACTCTTGACCGTCTCCACAGCCCGTCCAATAACCCCCTTCCTCGAAACCGCATACACCGCGGTCTTCGCCTCGAGCTTGATCACCCCGATCCGCGGATCCTCGGGCCCACCATCATGCACTCCATCGCCCAAATCACCCAACCACGCCTGCAGCGCCGGCGAGTAATACTTCTTGACGGTCTCCTTATCCGCCACGATACTCGCCGTGCCGGAGATAGATGCCCAGGACCCGCTGATGGGGTCGAGGAAGGACATGTTGGTCTCTGTGGGGTGGGCGGTTAGGTCCATGGTCTTGTGGCTGAAGAGGTTTGTGTGGAAGATTAGGGTTGTGTCGCCTTTCTCCTGTTCATTTTCCATGATGTGTTAGTTTAATGTTCCATCATTGTCCTTTGGAAAAAAAATAAGTGGGGAATGATGGATGGGTTTACCTTCCCAGCAAGAGCCATACACCGACTCGTGAGCAGATCATCATCCGAGGACTTTGTCGTCAACATGCCGAATTTCTGTTCCGTGATGAAGGTGGACAGGTCGGTGATCTTTTGAGAGAGTGGGATGTCTTCGTCTAGGGATTTGGCTTTGTAGGGGTCCAGGGGCTGCGTGCCGCTGGTGGTGGGGATTGTGGTGGACATTTTTGTTTGTTTGGTTCTTTGGTTGTAGCTTAGCTGGTTAGATTAAACGGTTGATGTAGTTAATTGTAAGATGGATTGTAGGAGAATGGGAAAGAGTGTAGTAGGAGCTGCAGTGGTGGATGTTTATATGATATAGTAGGAGGATGGCGTAGAAGTGACGTCAGGAGGTGGTAGTACTACCACTTTCACTACTACTATCTTTAGCAGGGTTGTTGGATGAATGGTTTGTGGGATGGTGTCATGGTCAGATTGATGTCAGTGGTGACGATCGTACCTTTTACATAGTAGCATAGCATTGGGGGTGCGATCCTGGGGTAAATACTTTGAATGTGTCGATTAGTGGTGGTGGTGGTGGTTGGTTGGATTGGGGAGTCCCGTCACTCCCGCATATACTAAAGTGGTGTTGTGTCCATTGGATGACTGCGGGATAATTCTTTAGATTGTAATTAGTTTATAATTGGTAGACATATTTACTATACAATTGCTTTCCATGGTTATCGATAATAGTGTGGTTGATTGTGCGGTGTTGGGACTTAGGTAAAGCGGCTACTATATATCTTGGTGGTGTCTTGTATGGCCTCATGTCAGCTCCAAGTGGTCAAGTTCACATTTAGAATATAAGTGACCCATTACTACCTATAGCTACTATCCTGAATACAATTATAATAGGAGTACTGGCAGTGTGTCATCACTCATTAACAGTCTATAGTAGCTCACACATAACTATACCACAGCGTCATCTGCAACTCCTCCAACCGTCGCAATCCTCCCGACACCCGCCCCAGCGCATCCGTCAAGAACGCACTTCGCGTCGACCCCGGCTGGGGAGCCGACCACGTCGTCCACCCCCGCGACATAGCTCGCTGGAACGTAGTCTCCGGATGAGTGTCCGGTCCCAACGGCGCCAGCTCCACCACGGCCTCCGGCCCCAATGACAACAGGTAATTGATCCATTCATGCAGTACGATCATGCCCTGATTGCGCTCCTGAGAAATGCCGGCATTCTGGAACACGCCAAAGCGACGGGCACGCTCGGTCTCGCCGCGCAGGAATCCCAGCATGTACTTCAGACACGTCCATACCTCGTCCATGTCTTGCATATCGCTCACCGAGAGGCCTCCGGGATTGCCCTCTCCGAATCCCGGCGGAGGGTCGAACAGGATGCTGGCTACGTCCTTGGGGTCGGGACACGGCTGGAACGGGGATCCGGTTTCCCCCCGCAGCCAGCTGACTTGTCCGTCCATATCTGTTTCTCTGCCAGTCTGCATTCCGAAGAGGTAACAGAAGGTCCAGACGCGCCAGATGGCGTTGTCTAGCCGGCGGGCTTCTGGACCGGATGGACGGGCAAGCGCAGTGTATGAGCTGGTGCGCATGACTCCCCTGCAGTGGGTCATCATCAGGCCCTTGAGGGTGGCGAGGGCGCGGAGATCGCGGGTCACTGCACGGTAGTAGATCGTTGCAGGGGGTAGGTTCTGCGAATCAGCGTTCTCATTGATATCACTTATTTGACGGAGTTCCCATGCTGCAGGGGATCTGCGTCTAATGGTGTTTTCCATCAATGGGAGCTCGTGGCGCTTGAAAACGTGGTAGATGGCTTTGCTGGTCTGAGCGAAGGAGAAAAGGTCATCCAGGTCGTCGATCTGGAGGAGGATATTCAAAATCATGTCTTCCATGCCGGGCTTGGAAAGGCTCCATCGGTTGCATACCATGCGCTGCAGGTCGTCGTCCAAGGCGGCCATGACTGCGGCGAATGGCGGAACGGAACTGCGTGGCTCTGATATTTGATCAGGCGCAGGACCTGTGAAGAAGCGCACCGAGGGTGCACCTTCAGTGAAGGCTTCATCCTCGTCATATCCAACGTATTCCCAGTTGCTTTCAGTGTCATCACCTAACGTAGGCCGTCGAATCGGCTTGTCAAACAGCTGGCTTATCGGCTGATCAACCGGCTGATCGACTGTCTTAGGATTATGGAAATCCTGCGGAGGGAGTTCGCATGTGTGGTCCGGGGGCAGGGAGGAGTGTGAAGTCGGTGGGGGTGAGTTAGAAGGTGCAGTGTCGACACCAAGAAGTGGCTCGTTCTGCACCCTTGTGAAAAGCGACCGGAGAAATTGCTGATTGGATTCTGCTTGAAGAATCATGTCCATAGTGTACCCATCCTCGAGCAAACTCGCGAGGACATTTTTCATTCGCTTTATGGCGTCTTCATAGTGACCGTCCTCTTCCTTGCCGTCAAGGAAACCCTGACCATTGTCCTCCGGTGGACGCTGGATAGGTGGTATCGTCGACATGCGAACAATGATTGATGCTCTGCGGACATTCTGGTACTTGTTCTTCTTCGTTCTGCTGTGCTTGAGCGCTCCACCATCGTGGGAAACGGCTTTACGGGTCAGGACCCGCCGTACGCCTGCCTTCAATGACTGCCACAGGGGCTTTTCGTCACTTTCTGGCTTCAGCTCCTGTTTTGACGTCTTCTTCACTGGCTGCTTCTGCTGGACATGCAGGTCCGTCGGACTTGAGGGTTTCGGATTGTGACCGTAGCCCGGATTATTCGGGGCGGGCGGCAATTGTTCAGCTTTGATACCAAATATTTGCGGCCACTCAGGAGCATCCTTGGGCCCTTTCCCGGCCGCTGAAGAGCCGATATACCCTGGCGTATTCTCATACCTCGGGTTCGAGGCTGCTCCTGTATCTGGAAAGGCCACTATAGGTCGCGGGGTGGTGGGACGGGCCGCTGTAGATCGGGGTGTGGAGGGCTGAATGGTTGGTAGAGGAGTCACAGGTCTGGGGGTGGTAGGTCGAGGGGTTGCTGGTCGGTAAGTCATAGACGGTGGTGTCATAGGCCGCGATGTCGCAGCGAAGGGTGCTGCTGGGGGAAGAGGTGTTGTAGGTCTGGATGTCGAAGACACTGGCGTCAGGGGACGTGGCGTCGTAGGCCGAGGAACTGCACCATAGGGCGCTGCATGAGGTTGAGGTGTGGTTGGTCTGGATGTCGAAGATACAGGAGTTATAGGACGGGGCGTCGTGGGCCGGAGTGCTAAAGGCTGAGGCGTATAGCTCGTAGGGGACTCTCTGAGAGAGCTTTGTCCGCCACTTGATCTACCTGACCCTCTCGAATGCGCATTGCCACTAACTCCAGGAACTGGGGGTAGAGGCTTGAACCTCCACTCGGACGCTGATGGTGAGCGCGTCGCAGAACTCGCGCTAGATGTGTATGAATAGCATGGGCTGGGTGGGCCATATTCGTCGGCTCTTGTCTTGGGTATGTGTAGATGTGGCACAGCCAATCTGTCTGCTGAGTCCCATGTCGTTTCCAATCCCGCGAGGAGTAGTTTGTCGTCGACGTCTGGGGACGGCATTTTCAATTGCTTGGGTTGGATGCGACCCGCGCTATCTTCAGTGTGGTCCTCAAGGATATCGTTTGGAAGAAAATAAAGAGTCGACCTGGAGGAGGTGAGGCTGTCCACTGACTTTATGCCTTGTGGGTTGCTGAACGGGGCGCGTGGAGGGGCTATTGGAGATCTGCAGCGAATGGGTGCATAGGGACCCGAGGTATAGTCGGACATGGTATGCAGGGCGATCATGAAGAAGCACCACTATAGGTCCAGAAAGGTCTAGAAAAAAGGTCTATAATAGTTTGGGGAGGACGGACAAGGGTGATATACGTCGCAGCCTGCGGATGACATACCCCTGGGACCCAGTTCCGACTGATACGCAAGCCCACCAGGGCTTGAATCCTGAAAGCCATCGGCTTGGGTCCATAATGTTTTGAATTTAGTCACAGGGCCCACGCGAACTCGCGGTATCAGCAAGCCCAGAAGCTAGAACATGGCCATGAAAAAGGTGTCTGCGAGAGCATAGCCCAACCAATGACCAGGCAACCGGGGCACAGGCAAGCACAAGTGCTATGCTGACGGAGGATCAGCTAGCAGGGGTCGTGGCAGTGTTTGGAGCATGTTGACTGAGAAAGGCAACACAACAACACGGTCGCTGGAGCACTTGTGTGCTTGGAGAAACTAGTTCGCGATGGCGTTGGGGCCAAATCGCGTCAGAATCTGCGAGGAACCCGAATTGCGACGAACGCGACACTGAGTAATAGTTAGTGACTCCCCAGCTTAGATGCAGATTTGAGTATCAGACTCACTGTGAGCAGAAAAATCGCATAGCGAATAAATTGTGGTGGACTTGTTAAGAAAATGTCCAAAGAGGGAACGGAAGAGAAGAGAGTTGGAGAGAAGGGGCCAAAAAGAAAGACGGATGAAGTTCTCTCGCAAAGCCTCCCTTCCACCTTCAACTTCCGCCCCCAGAGACGATCCAACTTCATTTCCGCTTCAGCCGATCCAGAAGCGATTATTTTACAACATAGCCATGTGGCAGAGCCCACCGGTCCAGACACATCACATCAGGGAGCAGATCGTTCCGTGTCCCAGCTGACATCAGATGTTGTTCTCTCAGGGGAAGTGTTTCGTTTGGGGCGAAAACTCCCACCAGAAAACCTTGCGAGGAGGAAGTTGGCTCAGGGAGCAGGGAGAAGAGAGTAGAAAGCTGCTAAGGTACTTACTCATCGGGCTGACTTAGTTGCGTTAAGTGGTACTGACATGGGAAACTCAAGAGGACGAATTCTGGGGCTGATCACCCAAATGTCGACCACAACATGCGCTGAACATGAGAAAATCTACACGAATACCTCGGGGGTCTTAGTCCAGCACATCCGGATCTACTATCGTGTCAGCTCAACAAGGCTTTCACAGGAATCAGAAGTGGGTACGAGCCACATGGGTGACATACCATTCCCCGGATCCGTGGTCGACTCCTTTTCTCGAACCTGATCAGCACCATCAGGCCTGCCAGTTGAACTGGAGGGAAACGGCCCCTTGTTTGATCACCAGGTGTGAGTGTGCCTTGCACTATCGTGTAACAGGAAGGTAGCTTGTTGCCTCATAGAGTAATAATGGCACATCCGATTTGTGACAGGAGCAGGTTCGGATGAGCTTAATGGCCGCAGGAGAGGGATGCTTGTTCTTGGTAAGTACTAGACTTAGAAACAACCTTCTGTATGATTGAATTGATTCCCAGGTTGTCAGCAAAGTTGCACTAGAGCATTATCTGCGTCGGGAACAAGTCGCTGCCTGAAGCAGATGGTCTCCCCAATTGGACTTTGAGCCAGTTGAAGATTTTAATTCTAGACCATATCGTGTCTCCCTGGGTTCCTTGTACTTGGGTATCAGTTTCTCCCGAATTCTTTTGACAACAGTTGGGGTGGACAACCCCCTATGCAGGGTTACTCAATGGCAAAGACTTCATAAACCAGTCTTCTAGACAGCAGATGACTCCTTAGAATCTGACTAACCTCGCACACGGGCATACTCTGTGCCGTACCAACAATTGTGGAAACAGGGTTTTACGATTGGGTTATTTGTATGGATTGTAAGCTCCATCTGAAACGGATTACATGCATGAGTAGTGTGTTTGAGAATTGCGTAACTCCTACACCTACCGATCTCCTCCACTGACTTAGCATAATACAGTAATGATTTCCATTCTTATTATGAAAGAGAGTCCATGGACAAACTTTCTGACACAAAACATCGGCGGCCTGATAAGAGCCATGTCCCTAAGTGGACCGTCGCATCGCGTTCAACTTAATCCCAACTGATACTGATGACATACAACTCCAGTCTCAGTTTAGACACCAGAGTGAGTATCCAACCTCAGATCTCAGCACCAAACACCATACGCAAAATGACTGCGCCAACAGTCACCACAACAGAAAGGTTAGACTTGGTCATTCCTAAACCCTGAACGGCATCCAACACCCCAGTCCAGTCATACGCCACCAGCATCCGGATGATAGGATACCACCACCAGGGAAATGTCGCACCCAACCAGCAAAATACCCACATGAAACCAACGCATCGCTGCCAGATGGGTGTTTTATCTGCGGTTCTTTGCTCTTCCCGTGTCAAAATAGCCCAGTAGTGTTGGACGGCGTCCTCAAACATGATTGCACCTGCTTGTGCGACGAAAAACAGCATGGCGCCGGTGTTTCCACCTTCAATTCCACTGACGACGTTGGTGAATACATGCATCAACCCGGATAGGATGAAGACGATGGTCAGATTGAGATATCGTTCGATTAAGGAGGGCTTGAGAAGGCCAAAGATACGGCAGGTGATTGCTGTTGAAACACCAGTGTATGACCAGCGGAGATTCTGATGCCAGAATTTGCTGGTTTGCCATATGTCAGCAGGGATTCTTCTGTTCATGGAGCAAGGATGAGATGGAAAAGGGATAAGAGGGCAGAGTGTGAACGAACCCCCAAAATCCGCGAACAGTATACGTGTCGGCCAGGCTCCCAAACTCCGGGGGCCACGAGGCGATGGTTGTCATCCCGGTCGCTACTGAAATTAGAGATGCCACCCGGTACATAGAGTCAAGAAAGAGCATCGATCCAGGAAAACCGAAGAGAAATGCGACTGTGACACGTCCGAGAAGCTGCTTCATGCTAGAACTTGCCAATTCGAACTCGCTCCCGGATCCGTATATGTATGACCCATCGTAATCCTGCACATCATGGGTAGCTAACGATGAGAGCACGAGAACCAGGACAAGAACTTCCCAGAAGGCAATCGCCAGCTGCCTGCTCATGAAATAGCCTCGGCTGGGTGGTTTTGCTCGAAGCACAAGTGGATGACTGGGAATATTCTTTACCTGCCAGGGCGTGCCAATACCACGGGTAGACTGGAGCAACGCGGAAGCAGACGCAAGTTTCCCTGCAATAGTGCCCGGTTGCCCTGTCAGATCGACTCTGGCAATCAGAAGCAGATTTATATGTTGGATAAGTACGGTGAATGGCATGCCACTAAGAGTGACTTTGGCGTAGGTATGGTGGTCGGTCATTTTGATTAGAACGCCTTCGATGTAGGCCAAGTAGGTTATTGAAGGGAGGCATATCCAACGTATGAAGGAGTTCCGAGGCGTTCTGGCAATGAGGGTGACCGTAACAAGGCTCTGGAGTATGGTAACAATGGTGCAAAGGAGGTCCGGTGAGATGGCCATCTTGCTTGGTGGTTTGCAGCATCGGGAGATGAGGCAAACGACGCCGTCTAGGGCCTTTGGACTGCTGCTGACGGGACAATCGTTGACTCCGAAGCCAATGCCATAGAGGGCACGAAAGGGGCTGGTTATATGAACTCAGGTGGGTTGCCCATGTAACAGCTGCAGACCTCACACCACTTGCTCGTGCAACGACAGATGAGCATCCATGAGGAAACGGGAGATATCGAAGGAGGTCAACTCTATGAAGACTAACATCTCGAGGCGAAATTCCGGATGCGTTATTCGGGGGAAGAAAGGCGTAGAGGCTATCTGCCGAACGCAAGATCCATTTAAACAGCCGCAAGTCAGCTTATAGTGGCTTTGAAAGTAATATGGAACACTTACATTGCCCTCCGTACGGTGTAACCTGGTGTGGAAGTTGGCAGTCATGTTTTCCGGCAATGTCCCACAAGATTGGCTTAGCAGAATGGCTTTCCCCTGCGAGATAGACACCTAGGCGAAGTATTCTAGGGGTCAGTAAAAAATATGAACCATTGCGTAGCTGCAGACGTCACTTGCCAATGTCATCTCCCATCCGGGAGACTTCTTGGTTTGCGGAGAATCACGCCGAGATTGGAGTATAATAGTACGCTCAGACCAAGTGCCTTCATATTTCTGCGGGGAAGTGTAACAGCCATGCCAGGCGGGAGTTTGATGAATAGTAGATCCCAAGTGCCGAATGTTCAATCGGCGATTTGTTGCATGTCAAACGCCGGTCCAATGATATACCAGTTCCCCAGACAATCCTTCTCGAACCCCTCTCGCTGATCTTCATTCTCCCGCACACCTACCTTCTTCATACCATCTCTCTCCAGCAATCCCCTTTAAAGAGGGGTTTTAAAACTCAGAGTCGGACGGAAGATATTGCCTATTCATCATCCAATATCAAGATTGCCTGCTGTCACCAACACAACAATTTCAAGACTAAAAGACAGGACACGCGATGGCTTCGCAAACAGAAATGGAAAAAACAATCTCACAAGCTATTGATCAGTTCAGTGCAGGTCTTCGCGAACTGAGTCTCAAGGCATGGAAAATTCCTTCTTCCATCTCCATATTCTAATAATTACCACCGTCCAGATTCACCAAAATCCAGAGCTGTGCTACGGAGAGCACAAGGCCCACGATGCAATTTGCAACTACCTAAAGGCCTTAGGTCTATCTAATATAACAATCATCCCCAAAGCATACGGCCTCGAAACCTCCTTCCTTGCCGATTACGGCGACGAAGACGGAGAAGTAGTCGACTTCTGCGCAGAATACGACGCACTCCCAGAGATAGGTCACGGATGCGGCCACAACCTCATCGCCATCTCCTCTATCGCCTCATTCCTGGGTGTCGTTGCCGTGATGAAGCAAACCAAGATCCCAGGAAAAGTGCGTCTTCTAGGGACCCCCGCTGAAGAAGGCGGCGGTGGTAAGATCAAACTGATCGAAGCGGGCGCCCTGAAGGGCACAACCGTGTCGTTAATGAGCCATCCCACACCCCAGTTTCCCCATATGCCTGCCAGCTCTACCGGTGTCGCATTCGGCTCCTGCTTAGCGGCGACTGGGTTCCTAGCTAACTTTACTGGGAAGCCTGCGCACGCGGCTCAGATGCCCTGGGCAGGTGTGAATGCTCTTGATGCGGCAACACTAGCGTATCAGGCTGTTGGTTTGCTGAGGCAGCATATCAGGCCTAGTGATCGGATCAACATTATCATCCCGGAAGGAGGGACCGCTCACAATATCATTCCGGATAAGGCACAGATTCGAGTAAATGTTCGATCTGAGACGCTGAAAGAGATGAATAGCCTGCGGGAGCGCGTTGAAAATTGCATGAAAGGAGCAGCGTTGGCTACGGGTTGTAAGGTTGATATTGTTCCAGCGTATGAACTAGTTTTTCAAATTCTCTATGAAGGATAGTGAAACTAACACTGAACCAGAATGGACCCCTATGCAGACATCCGACCCAACGAGAGCCTCTGTACAGAGTTTACCCGATACATGGGTTCCAAGGGAATGGAATACTACTGCGACTTACAAAAGAAGGATATCGGTGCATTCAGCACAGATATGGGTATGCACACAACCC